AACAAGGTAATGCTTTTCACTCTTCTTTGATTTGTGGGTTGATTCTTGTCTTCTACCTCTTGTTTTCAAAAAATCTAAAGATGGAAAAGAGGGGTTTTTGCTTCTGTTCGTCAGAAGCGGTCGACCTGTTCATCATCGTGGTCGACCGCTACTGACTTGTAATCTAGTTTCCTTCTGTTTTATGGACTGAGGTCGACCTATGATGATTTTGAGGTCGACCTGTGATGTCTTTGTACTATTTCTGGCCGTGTTTTGTAGATCTGTAGCTTGAAAAAGAATGTTTTTTCATTCTGTACGCCAGGTGAGGTCGACCTTCTCATATTAGTGGTCGACCGCATCTGGCTTTCATCCCGCTTTTCCTCTGTTTTATGGATTGAGGTCGACCTATGATGATTTTGAGGTCGACCTGTGATGTCTTTCTTTTATTTCTGGCCGTGTTTTGTAGATCTGGCCGAGGGATTTTCCCTTTTGTACGCCACGTGCGGTCGACCTTCCCATGTTCGTGGTCGACCGCATCTGGCTTTCAATCGCCATATCCTATTGTTTTATAGACTGAGGTCGACCTCTTCAGATATTAGGTCGACCTGTGATGTTTTGCACTCAATTGGTACCATCATTTGGGCCATTTTATGCTCGTTTAATTTAGCCGAGGTCGACCTATGATGGTTCTGAGGTCGACCTATGAAGGCAAAAGTGCGAGTTAATGTCTCATTGTATTTCAAATTGTTCGAAACTACCATCGGTCGACCTCTTGAGATTGTGAGGTCGACCGGATATGTTTTGATCTCAAATGGTACTATCATTTGGCCTATTTTATCCTCGTTTTAATTTAGCCGAGGTCGACCTATGATGGTTCTGAGGTCGACCTATGAAGGCAAAAGTGCGAGTTAATGTCTCATTGTATTTCAAATTGTTCGAAACTACCATCGGTCGACCTCTTCAGATTGTGAGGTCGACCGGATATGTTTTGATCTCAAATGGTACTATCATTTGGCCTATTTTATCCTCGTTTTAATTTAGCCGAGGTCGACCTATGATGGTTCTGAGGTCGACCTATGAAGGCAAAAGTGCGAGTTAATGTCTCATTGTATTTCAAATTGTTCGAAACTACCATCGGTCGACCTCTTCAGATTGTGAGGTCGACCGGATATGTTTTGATCTCAAATGGTACTATCATTTGGCCTATTTTATCCTCGTTTTAATTTAGCCGAGGTCGACCTATGATGGTTCTGCGGTCGACCTATGAAGGCAAAAGTGCGAGTTAATGTCTCATTGTATTTCAAATTGTTCGAAACTACCATCGGTCGACCTCTTCAGATTGTGAGGTCGACCGGATATGTTTTGATCTCAAATGGTACTATCATTTGGCCTATTTTATCCTCGTTTTAATTTAGCCGAGGTCGACCTATGATGGTTCTGAGGTCGACCTATGAAGGCAAAAGTGCGAGTTAATGTCTCATTGTATTTCAAATTGTACGAAACTACCAATGGTCGACCTCTTCAGATTATGAGGTCGACCGGATCTGTTTTGTACTCATATGGTACTATCATTTGGCCCATTTTATGCTCGTTTTAATTTAGCCGAGGTCGACCTATGATGGTTCTGAGGTCGACCTATGAAGGCAAAAGTGCGAGTTAATGTCTCATTGTATTTCAAATTGTACGAAACTACCAATGGTCGACCTCTTCAGATTATGAGGTCGACCGGATCTGTTTTGTACTCAAATGGTACTATCATTTGGCCCATTTTATGCTCGTTTTAATTTAGCCGAGGTCGACCTATGATGGTTCTGAGGTCGACCTATGAAGGCAAAAGTGCGAGTTAATGTCTCATTGTATTTCAAATTGTACGAAACTACCAATGGTCGACCTCTTCAGATTATGAGGTCGACCGGATCTGTTTTGTACTCAAATGGTACTATCATTTGGCCCATTTTATGCTCGTTTTAATTTAGCCGAGGTCGACCTATGATGGTTCTGAGGTCGACCTATGAAGGCAAAAGTGCGAGTTAATGTCTCATTGTATTTCAAATTGTACGAAACTACCAATGGTCGACCTCTTCAGATTATGAGGTCGACCGGATCTGTTTTGTACTCAAATGGTACTATCATTTGGCCTATTTTATTCTCGTTTTAAATTAGCTGAGGTCGACCTATGCTTCTTCTGAGGTCGACCTGTTCTCGTTTTAAATTAGTTGTGGTCGACCGCTTTATAGAGTGGTCGACCGCGTATTGTTCATTTCGAAATTTGGACTAACGTGTATTCTTGCTTGTTTGATCGCAGGATGTTTGGCGGCAAAAAGAAAAGAAAGGCACAAAAAGCTGCTGCTTCAAGTTCGGAATGGGAAGAGTTCAATTCGAATTTGTTCCAGTCGAAGGAGCAAAGTGATAACTACGAAGAGAAGAGCATGCACAACCGCAGGGTGGTTCCGGGAAGGCCATTGACGGCGGATGCGTATTCTCATTTCGAGAATTATGGGTTTCTGGGACCCTTCGTCGATCAGGAGTGGTTGAAGGTGATATCACTCAATGTACCATACTACCCAAAAATGGTACAATACTTCTACAACAACATCTCCTACGAGCGCAATGCAAATGGATCCATTCACGCATTCAAATCCTATGTGAATGGGGTGGCGATGCGGATCAGCAAGAATGTGTTGGCGCAAGTACTGGAGGCTCCAAACGCGGGGAGGAGAATCAATTCTTACGGTGCTTGGAATGAAACGCATTACACGAGAGCCAAGCAAATCCAGACCGTATGTGGTCTTGATGAAGAGGAAGATGCTCAGGGGCGCAATAGGCCATCGAGTAACCACCTGACAGTTCAAGCCAGAGTTCTTCACCACATGCTTTCCTACAACATTCTGCCAAAGGGTGGACATCGGGAGACAGTCACCTACTTCGACATGGAGCTCCTCACCAGCCTGCTGTTAAACGAGAAGGTGAACTTGCCACACTTGATCTTTACCCACATGCTTACTGCTGCTGAGAGTTCAAACAGGAATCTTCCCTATGGGATGATTCTCACTGTGATATTTGAGCATTTTAATGTGAATTTAAGTGAAGAGGTGGGGTTATCGATCTCAAGGCAGGAGTTCTATACTGTTTCATCTCTGAAAAAGATGGGCTTTGAGCTGCGTAATGGTGAGTATGTCAGAGCAAACATTGCTCATGCTGGTGGTGGTGATGATGATGATGATGATGATGAGGATGATGATGGTGATCAAGGAGCTCGAGACGAGCCAATGGGGGAGGCACAGACTTCAACTCCACCGATCACCTTACAGCGTGTGTGGGAGCGCATGGATGGCATGTACGAGTACATGGGCCAGATGAACGCCCAGATGACTGGCATGTACGACTACATGGGGCAAATGAACGCCCAGATGAGCACAATGCAGCTGACCGTGAATGAGATGCGAGATGAGTGGCGATCTTTCAGCGGAAGATACATGCATCCCACCACATCTGACCACCATGCTACCACCACCAATGAAGAAAATGAAGAAAATGTGAATGAGGGAGAGGGGGGAGATGAGTAGTTTTTAGTTTTATTTGTTTAGTTTTATTTTTATGTGTGAACAATTATGCTATGATGGTGTTTTTTGTTTTATTTTTATGTGGTGAACAATTATGCTATTTTATGTGTGTTTTATTTTTAGTTGTTATGCTATGGATTGATGAGTCCTTGTTATAATTGACTAATTATGATGGTTTGAAACATAATTTATACGATTAAATTAACCACACAAATCGACATACATAACCAAAAAAGACACGGGGCATAGGTTGACTTTCTTGTATTCGGTCGACCTCGTACCGGATTAGGTCGACCGAGAAACCAACACTTGATCTCCATTTTACGTCAAATGATTGGACACTTTGATTGAACACTTATCTTCTATCTGGTCGACCTCTTTCCTTATCCGGTCGACCATTTTGTTAATTACTGCCATCAAGTGGTCGACCTATATATTAGGTGGTCGACCATGTTGTTTCTGACGCCAACGAAATGGCCGACCGAGGTTCTATTCTGGTCGACCAAAAATACCAACTTCAACTAAATGCGGTCGACCAGGTGGTCGATGCGGTCGACCGCAAGGCTTTCTCGTGCTGCCCAAATTAGACTATGCGGTCGACCGCCCTTAGTAAGAGGTCGACCGAAAAATGCATGTCACCGTGACATGCATGTCATAGTAGGCATACCCTAATTGATTTCCCTCCAGTTCTCTTTTCACTCATTCACCTTCTTTCTTCATTTTATCATGATTATGTTGGCTATTTATTGTTTAATAAATATGTTGGAGTTGTAGATGAATGATTTATAATATTATATTTTTTCTAATGAATTGATGAATATTTTAAGATCGAAGGTGTTGAATTCATATTTAAAATGTTTGTATTGTACCTTTGTAGATTTCCTGATAATTAAAGATATAAATGTTGAATTTTAAATATAGTAATATAAATTTATGAGTATTACCCACAGGCCACGGGTAGTCGTAAATCACAGATATCGTGATGCAAAACTTCCTTATCTGAATATGACGTATGCATATGAATATGAGTATTTAAAAATAAAAATAAAAATAATTTAGGAAAATCCGCCCCAATCGCACTCACTACCATAGTAGTCAGAAACATAATAGTCACCTTAACCCGTCGACGATAGTAAGAAATCATTCTGGTGTTAATTACACCTGTGCTGACATAAAATGTAACGATGCAAAACAGCAAAATACGTAAAAACCGAACATATCCAGGAAGAGCTTCACTCATTCGCCCTCTTGCTACAAACCCTTCGATTCTAATTTTGAGAACAACAATTATCTAGAAAATGTCGACAAAAAATTAGCAAACTTGGGAAAAGTTGGAAAAAATTCATAGAGAATATTTTGGTCTCTGCTTGACTTCGTTCCAACAGAAAAGGAAATTATCAGAAAACGACAAAAAACGAGCACATGAAAATTATCAAAATGCATGCACGAGCACGACCATCACTGGGGAAACTTGAACATCCCAGCAGCAGCAGGATCGCATCCAGAAAGTGGGAAAGGGAATTTCTGCGCCGCCGTCACCGCCGACGAATTGCCGCCACCACTTCCACCTCCGCCCACTGCCACCGATGATCTCTGGTCATGCTGATGAGGATGAGACGAAAGCAACTTGTCCAGAAAAGACCAATCAGCACCCGCCGCCGCAACATTACTACTACTACTCCCATAATTGCCACCACCGGTACTTCCGCTCGGCGTCTGCAGCCTCAAGAAGCTCTGTGGCTGCATCAGCGGGGAGCAATCATTGTTCATATTATTGATCAGGTTGTTGTTGTAGGAGTTGACGAAGTGTGCGGATTCGGCACTGAAGAGTTGCGGGAGATGCATGGAACCGGCCTCGAACTCGTCGTAAACCGGTGCTGCTCCGACGGAGTTGCATGCAGTGGACGTGGTGGCGGGTTGAAGGTGGTGGTGGTGGTGGTGGTGATCGTCGTCGGCGCCGCCGCCCATTTGTGGTGCGAAACCTCTAGCTTGGTTCTTCTTCTTGAATACTCGACACACTACCCACCCTTCTTCCTGCAAAAATACAATCCGTACCATTTGAATTCTGAGACTGAAAATACGTTTAGTAATGTGTATTTATCTGTTTTGTGGCAATAAGAGTGGACAACGGAACATGAATTAGCTGAAAAAAGACGGAAACAATTTTATCTAGCTTCCTTTTTGTTTTCTTGTGAGATCATATAAGTTATTGGAATAATTTTATTTAAAGGAGTCTATGGCTAAATCTTATTAGACCAACTTTTTACATATTTTATTCAATTTTTCTATAACTTATATCGTTCGATATTATTTTCATATACTTTCCTCTTTTTTTTTTTTCATAACTCGTCATGTCACAATATTCCTCATTATTTCCTATCTTCATTAGTCTCAACATTAATACTAAACCTGACCAAATGAAGCAACCAAACGTTGAAAATTGTCAACATTCATGACTTCTCATAATTACCAATTGTTTTCCATTTTCATGGCATTGTGGTTGTACCTATGTTGTCACAACAATACAGCAAAACACAGCAACAACAAATGTGCACTAAACGAGGCCTTAATCAGTAGTGTCTGTCTTCCTAAATAGTTAGCGAGCTAGGGTTTACCTGAAACTGAGAGTTGTGATGATGTTGGTCGTCGTCGAGGCGATACTCATGCATGATCCAATCGGTCTTATGGCCATGAGGTGCCCTTCCAGTGTAGAACACCAGGGTTTTGCGCATCCCAATCCTCTGTGAATGATCATTGCTGGTGAAATGAATGGCTTTGTCCCTCCCCGTAGCCTTCCAGAATCCAGCTGCGGTTGCCCTATTCGTTCGAGTCCCTGTTGGGTACTTCTTGTCCTTGTGGCTGAAGAAATACCACTCATTCTGCGGACCTGTCCCGATTCTGCACTTCTCTGCAATTTTTCCATATGATTCCATGACACCAAAACCAATCATTATTGGTTTACTATTATGTCCCATAAATTACCCCAAGAGGTGATATATGCAATAAAAGGTCCATATATAGAGTATTTATGGAGCAAAATAGTGTTTATACTTAGGAGCCTCTACCAGCTGTTATCTCTGCCATGATAGGGGGAAAAATTGAAGTTATAACAAATTCGCCACTAACTACGAAAAAATTCACTCACACATGTTACAGTCATGCATCAATTATACAGAGATTTTGTACGACTGACTAAACCAACATTTGTCGAATTTTTTGGCTAGCTGAACCCTTTACATAGACTCTTCTGTTGGGTTGTCGTCTTCATCTTTCCAACCTAATTTTTACTACTAAATATTACTTGAACGTCAGGATATGCAGATCCACCACACTTGATTTTGAATGAAAGATATAAGATCGGTTTGTATCTATGCAATCATAAAAACAAAGATAATTGTTGAGAATCCTTATCGAGCAAATTTATACTCTTTGTTTGTGTTTCCCATAAGAGGATTAATTAAGATTAATAACATGACGATTAGAACCATGATGAACATGGAAGAAAACATAATCCCCCGAAACCCTAAAAGAAAAGGTGAGTCTGAGTCCATATATGGCTTACTTTCAATGACGAGTTACGTTACCTTTGAGGTCCCAAGGCTCAAGCTTGTTGAGGTCGACTTCCCTGATGACGTCGAGGTCTATGGCCTCATAAGAAACCTTCTTCCTCAGGTAGTAGTACAGAAGCTCCTCTTCCGTCGGGTGGAACCGGAAACCCGGCGGCACCGACAGCTGCCCGCCGCCACTTCCACCTGCCATTAATCTTCTCTCTTGTGTATGTATATATACGGATCCTTCCTTCCTTCCTTCCTTCCTCTCCACCTACTTTGCTTGCTTTCTGGTTACTGCGTTGAGTATGTAGATGGAAGTGGAAGCGAGCTTAGGAGAGAAAGAAAGGGACGTTGCTTCCTTCCCGTTTTTCGCCGGATAATACACAAGGCAGGTAAGAAGGGAAAGAAGGAAAGAAAGAACAAGAAGAAATGGACGCCAGAGAGAGAGAGGGAGAGAGTAGAAAAGCTGGCTGGCAGGCTAGTTAGGTCAAACACAGAGAGATGAGTTACGTTGCTTGTTGTGACGGTCGCCGGCCGCGACAAGCAATGCATGGAAGGCGGATCCCGTATGGGGAAAAATCAACGTAAACGGCACGGCGGGCGAGCAGAGAGAGAGAGAGAGAGAGAGATGGGTTCTTTTATTCTATTTTGCATGTGAGTTGTGAGGAGAATAAAGTGAGTGAGAGAGAAAAGGAATTTTGACGCAACTCCAAGCTTTTTAAGGTGTGTGACTGCCTGCCAGCTGACTGATCGACACCCGACCCAAGATTAATTGGCACAGAAATAAAGGCCAATAATCACATTAAAAAAACTAAAGCATTGGTTTAATTAAGGTGTTCAATTTATCTATGAAAGAGTTAGGTTCTTTATTTCGCGCGTTCACTTTATTGGCGAAACAAACATCAACAGATGTGTATGAGAGGACCATACACGGTGCTAATCCTATAATGGTTACAACTATACTAATCATGAGTTGTAGTAGTCTATATCGGATCGAGTTGAAGCTCTGTAATTGCAAAAGGTAAGGACTACAACTGCAAAAACAATTACTATAATTATAGTTATGTCGGAGTTGTAGTCCTACCAGAACAAAAAGAAAAAATGACAAATGGGAAACAACAATAACTATAAGTCTATAACTATGATTATGTACTACTACAGCTCATGATTAGCATGGTGCACGCTAACCCCTTATGGTTAACAAGCTAACCCATCTAGTCAACTAGTAAATTTTAAGTGAAAGGAATTGTGGATATTCTTTGTTTCACGTCAACTTTAATCGTACATAGCGATAAAAGTACTTTATTAAGAGAAAACTCTCTTTATAACAAAAAAAAAAAATCTAATTTATTTATCAACTTTTCTAAACATTTCGTATGCACCTAAAATCATCGGTGTACCATGAACGCGTTTACAGGAAAATGGAATGATGAAATAATAGTTAATTACTAAGAAGCCTAGGGATTGGGGGATAATTAAACAAATGGGGATGGACAGTGTACCGTGAGAGCTACGGCATTGCTCATATAAACTTACAATTAAATCAGTGCCAATATCCAAATAATTATTTATATATATGATAATAATAACACTACTATAGGGTACTGGCCGCAAGCTAGTTAGATGCTCCCATTTTATATGAGGTAAAATTATATATGTCAGCTTGTGCAGCCATAAGATAAGACGAGAAATTTCATTCCAAAGCGCGCGGCTGGTAAATGTCCGTTGAACGGGAGACTCTTTGTCCCCAATTATCGCCTTGTTACGATGAGCAAATTCAGCTTCACTGTCAATTACTACTTGCTACCCTCCAATTCCCTTAGTTCCCGAAATCAGGACTCCTGCAGAAAATTACAAATCTGTCTCTCTTAAAAAAAAGAATTTGGTGATTATATTTGTCTGGAAGTTCTATGCCAAAAAGGTAAATGATAATTTGTCTTATCTCGTGTTGGAAAATAGACCAACTCTTCAAAATATTCTTTTGTTATAGGGGTTTGACTGTATACATATATATGTAGCTGGTTTTTGGTGTATAAATAGCTATAGTTATGCAAGTGTACGTAGGTGTAGTTGATCATCTGATAGTGGGATGTCTTTTGTGCGTGTCCGTTAAAGGATTGGGATGAGAAGAAAATGAAATAGATTTCATATATAAGTTATAACCATGGATGCTTTATCTATAACTCAAACAACAATATTGTTCTAGAGGTCTATCGAACCAGATGTCCTAATCATCCAATGTACTTTGATATGAGTCGGGTTATATTCGCTTGTCTTTTAACATGTTGTCGACTCGAGTTCAGGAACTCGTTTGCCAAAGTGAGGGTGCTGTCATACTGATATATGTGATTCCTACTTCAGCTAAATTAAACAATATCACTTGAACATAAGGGTGTTTTGCTCATTGGATTTGAAGAGGGAGGTTTGTGTCCAATCTTTAAATTTGAAATATGAAATGAAATATAAAAAAAATCATAGCCAAAATGGATATTGTTGTATTTATTTCATATTGAATGGTATTATTTTCTTATTTGTTTTAATTATAAAAAAATATATATGAGAAAATTATGTTTTCTGGAAAAGATTAAAAATGATAAAAATAATGTGTTGACTTCAAAACGATTAATTTTTGCAATTGGAGGTTCTTCTTTTATATTATAAATCACTCTTAATTTTTTTATATAAATTTCGACTTATAGATGGTTTTGATCAAACAAACAATGAATTTGACCAAATTCCTCATATGTGAGATTGAGTTTCAAATCCATAACGTAAATCCAATTAACAGACTACATAAAAAATTAAAAAGATTAAGGTCGGGTAGTTCGAGGAAACATTTTGACCAGAGAAGTTGATTGCGTGGGATCCAAATGGGGTTAAATATGGTGTAAACGGTAAAGTAATATTGGTAAAAAAAAACTGTAAAATTGCGATTTAAATTAATGATTGTGATCTGTAATAGAAGATCATTTAGCCACTAAGGAAAGGACACCTTGACTTGGATAATTTCCTCATGCATAGTCAAAACTTCATTCATCGATGATTTCCATATAATTAATTATTGTCCACGTAAAGGATACGGAGTTGTATATATGCTGAAAGCAAGAAAGGAAAGGGAATAAGCTTCAATAATATCCTCAAATTCAGTGTACCATTCTTTATTTTTCCATTAAACCCTACTGGTCCTCATTTGTAACGAAACAGAAGTTCGGGACCCGGAGTGAATGATTTAGGAATACGAGAAAGTTGAAGCTCTAATGAAACACGTACCACTACTTCACAGTTCACACTGAGTGGATAAGTTAGAGACACATCTAGATCTAGACAATAAATAAAAGCCAAATGAGAAAACTTGAAGCCTCATTTCAAATTTCCTGCATCCAGAGTGAAAGTAGGAAGGACATTTTGGTCTTCACAATTACTTTTTTTTATTCATTAAAAGGACACTTACTAGGATTCGAACCATGACCATTTTAAAGAAAAACAAAGATCATAACCAATCACACTAAGTACATTTGTTGTATCTTTTTAAATTAAAAACATATAATTGCAGAGAGGAAAAAACTCTTCCCCCATTTAAAATTCCCTGCTCCAGGAGCGTTTGTAGGAAGAGTAGAATAGGGAGTGTCAATTTTTTTCTTTTTCCTCTGTGGAACGGGCCAACTTACCGTACACATGCGAATTTAAACAGGTCCAGGAGTGTCAATTTTTTTCTTTAAGTCCTTTTATTTCTCCATGGTGGTAAAATATATATATGAAAAGGCAAAATCAATACTCCTTTTTATTGCTAAAAAGGAAAAAAATTAACAATAAACTAATGCATGGATTCTAATGGGCTAACCGCTAATCATAAAATAAAAGAGTTGAACGGGTCTGACCTACATGGGATTTGCCCATCAAGTAAAACAAATGAACATCATGGGTTTGCCATTCTAAAACAAGCTATTTTCTCTAGCATAATATATACTATGCTATTATTTTATATCTTAGTGGCTAAAATATAATGTATTTTAAAGTTATTCAATGGTTCAACTTCGACCAACTCAATTAGTCCAATTTTTATCATTTCAAATATATATTATGTAATTATTTGATATCATAATGATTAAATTATAGTGTATATTATAGGAAATCGTTTGGTATTTGTTAGTAAAAAACTAAACAGAAAGATCTATTTGGTTATTTTTAATATTAAAACGATCCTAAACATTTTCAGTTTCCTTTCGAAATTCTATAGTTTTATTCCCGAATCAGTGATGTGCAAATGGTGAATTGCAGTCATCTATTTTCTTTCATTATTTTTTATTTTCAAATATAAAGTTTAAAAGTAAAGAATAATTAGAGTTTGGCATGGGTCGGTCAAACAAGCTGAATTTCAAGTTTTGGCCCATTTTGATCAAGTCTAATTTATAATCACATGGTTCTCTGATACCCTATAAAAATCTCAATCCAAACCAGTTTGGCAGGTGAGTCCGTGTTTACCACCATTTTCTAGGGATATAGGAACGGTGGTTCCTATCCCAAATCGTGCTGTTCATTCTTGATTTCTTTAGATTTTATCATGGCTTGGCAAAAAACCAGAAAACACAATGATGAGAAGATGAAAGTTTTATAAAGCAAATTAATCGGCCAACGGGCCGAGTAAAAGCTAGCAACGATTGTGAGATGCTCATTTCCCGAAAATCGGCGGGATATACGATTTTTTATTCGATTTTCTGGAATTCGGTTTCTATAAAACTTACTCCACCTCATCATATTACCAGAAACAATATTGTTTCACAAGGTAACATGTACTTGATTTTGGTTCATAAGGCTGATTTTTGATTCGTTGCATCATTCATGTCTCTTTTCTACAAAAATTCACTATTTTTATCACGTGTTTCCCCAAAAAAAAAAACTATACAACAATAAGCTATACACCCCATTACATTATCAAATTCCATACCTCATCTTCGTTCGGCCAAATGGCCGGGACCCACGCTAGTATTTGGTATGATTGAATGGGTGATGGACGGGTGAGGTTAACCTCTCACTACACTTTTTTTTTATAAGGATGATATGAGTTTAATATTTTGTGATTAAAGTACTATTTAAGGGATTCGAACCAATGACTTTCAGGTTCTAATCTAGTGGTACCACTAGACCAAGCCCTTGTTCGTAACCTCCAACAACAATTTTTCAACTAGCAATTAAGAAAGTTGGCTACCATTATAACAAACTCCTCGCAAATTAATCAGATTGTAGCAATTTATATACTTTTTACTTTGTCTCCTGTGAATCTATGTAGTATCTTCAATTTCTCACTACATCAACCAACGACGTAAACAAAATTAACGCATTTTGCGACTTTGATACAATTAATAATTTATAATTTGCAATCAAATTTCTAATGGACATTACTCAATATTATAAACAATAATAGTACAAAAACACTCTTTACTCTTCGTCTTCGGAAGTCAATGGTTAGTGTGCATAGCAAATATTTGATATTATAAACCATAAATAAATTTTATACGTATAAAAATAAGGTAAATACGTACATGCCATTCAAGTGACCTGCGATCCACCCACCACCCACCCGATTAAATACATATATATAAGAGATTTATCAATCCACCCACCACCGACATCAATTATCCATCTACGATGGATAAATGTCAAAGTGCAGATTAACCAACAACGTGGCCACCCCTAGCTTGTTTCCCAGGAAATTTGCAAGTAGATCAATTCAAGTAATGCACCAAAGTTATATAAACTTGTGCCTTCCTAGTAGTTGAAAATAAAAGGTACTACAGTGAGAAAAGTAGAAAACAGGAAAAACAAACAGATTCAAGCCAAACTGCTAACACGATTTCCATTGTTTTGTTCATTCGTTTAAGGTTCTATGTAACTGTCAAACGTTCCACGCTCCATATCATCATCATCATCATCATCATCGCAACTTTAGATCAGCAAACTTCGATGCCACATCCATGGCCTCATCCACGTTCGACGCATCTTTTCCCTGAAACCAAGAGTTTATCCAGCTCGCATCATTACGTAGAATAGAAAGAAATAGAAAATGAGGATACTTCATTCCATATGCTCGCTCAAACTACCAACCTGGCCGGTGGCAACACCATCTTTTCCTCTTCCACACTTTCCATTCAGAGGACCCAAGGCATTGCTCAACCATTCAGAAACCTCCAACTGCTTCACCTTGTTCGACTTATCTGGCACTCCAGCGCACACCACCGCTTTGTTTGTGCTTTCATCAATGCTGATAACCATGATTGAGATTCCCTGGCAATGATATAGGAAATACCCCGTGTCAGGATAAGAATATTGGCTTTTGTTCCGCCCCATTGGCATCACTAGCACAATACATGCAGTCAAGCGTAAAACCCCACACACCTTCCGATCCAGGACTTTTAACACGGCCTCACGAACTGCAGCTGCATCCAAACCTACATCGACTCTCAAGATGCAAAATGATTTGCCTTCTGATGCAGCAGTTTCAGCAATCTCCGTTGCAACCTGCACAGCCTTCTGTGTGTTTTCTTCAGCAATCTTCTTCTGTAGCTTTCTCACTTGGTTCTGATAAGATTTTAAATCATTTCAGAGAAATTCTAGGGCAAGAAGCAACACTCAGAGAAACTAGAAGGGCTAATGAAAAATCAACCAGGGTAAAAAATGGAGGATAAAGTTTTGAAAGTCAAGTGTTTCTGCAATACCTGAAGCACAGATATCTTGGACCTAAGATCAGCTTTCTTGGCTGCAGGAATAGTTGCTGCGTCCACACGACTCTTCAGAGATGCGACTTTCTGTTTAATTACAAGAAAATAATCAGACAAAAGAGCAAGTATATGCAGAGACTAAAAGGAACATTTTTTCTTTAATGGATCATCAACTTTGGATAAGAGCAACCTTTTCCAGTGCACTGCCATCTTCTTTGGATGCTTCCTCAACTTCTTGCTCAAGCGAGCATGCTAATTCCAATGCTTTAAAAGCACTGTCGGTTGTAACTGCAGTTATCCGTCTAATCCCTTTTGCAATTCCCTCCTCGGACAGAAGAGCAAAAGCTTTAGCTTCCTTTGTGTTTGTAATATGCGTTCCTGTCAAATATTTTCTACAAGTGTAAGTCACACGAAACCTAGAAGTAGATGAAGAACTAGAACCGTGAAGACAAGATTTAAAACCTCCACAGAGCTCTGTTGAAAGTGACAGCCATTCATTGTTATCTGGGTTAGCCACAAGTTCTTCAACGTTGCGACCGATTGCAACCACCCTAACAGGATCAGGATACACCTAAATCACAACAAAGAAGGAATTCAGGATATAATAAGTACATATACTACTTTTAACAACCTGAATGGCAGATTAGTGCATTACGTACTTCACCGAAAACAGCTCGCAGTCCATTAATCTGCTTAGCATCAGCCAGGCTCACTTCCTTAGCATATACACCTAACTCAGCCTTAATTTGTTCATTCACAATTGCCTCAATTTTTCTTAAAGCCTCAGCATCCACTGGTTTTCCTACAAGATCATTGATCAAGTTAGTGACCAACTGAAGGTAGGCAAATCAAATGTTCCTGAAAATTGGACGGTACATTATGAACCAACAGAAAAGGCTCACCATGACTGAAGTCGAATCTTAACTTTTCAGGGAGGACAATAGATCCCTTCTGGTCAATGTGATCACCAAGGACCTCCTGATTTCAGATCAGGACACAATCAAAGAAGTGCTTTTGCCAAAACAATAAGACTATATGTGGGGAGGTTAAGGGACTTACTCTAAGAGCAAAGTTCAACATGTGTGTACAAGTATGGTTGGGTGCGATGATTTTCCGTCTCTCATAATCAACCTGAACAACCAACAAGGTAAAACTTGAAGCATTTACATCAAGTACACTAAAATACCAATACACTAGGAAAGCAGTCAAGTGATTACTATTTTAAATACCTTACAGACAACCTTCTCGCCGACTGAGAATTTTCCTGTGCCTCCAGTGAGGGAACCAATATGAAGGATAAATCCTCCGAATATTTGGACATTGCGAACCTCACAGGAACCAAATGAGCCCTCAAGTAACCCAGTGTCAAAAATCTACAAGAAAACCAAGTCTCGTAACCCTAACCAAAAATACACAACCTTGACAAAAAAAATTGAACGGAAAAAAACATAAAGAACACACCACAAACTTCATCTTGATCTAAGAAATAAATAAGTGTACAAACTCAGACTGTACGATTCCACATCGTAACAGGAAGGCATCGATGAAAAATGAGAATCAAAAACAATTTTTTACGTTAAGAATACACTATCGCGAAGAACCAATCCTTGGCTGGTGAATACCTGACCACCTTGTTCAGCATAGAAACTAGTAGATTGGAGAACTATGCCAACTTCATTGCCAAGAGTGACACTTTCCAAGAACTCAGAACCTGTGTAGATGGCTTTAATCGAAGACTCGTGATCCTGAGAAAGAGTAGAGAAGAATGAGATAGGAAGTGCAAGAGAACCTTCACCAAGAATGTAATATACTGACCTGGAACCAAATATATTTGTAGGAATCATCTGTGGCAGAAACACCCTTCTTGTGCAATATAGATGTAGCATCAGCATCCATGACAATAGCACCACCAGCTTGCTGCCAAATGGTTTATATTAGCCAAATGCTTGTGAACCAAACAGGAAGATCGTAACTATATTCCATCACTTTTCACTCTTAAATTCAACAAAAAGAAAAAGAAAAGAAAAGAAAAACAGTTACCAAGTATATAAATATAACAATCCACAGGTAAAATTGACATAGGCAGCTATACCTTAGTTTGGGCACTTCTTGATCTTTCTCTAGCTTCATCCATGGCTTTATTGAAACCTTCAACATCAACTCCCAATTTCCTTTCTTCTGCCATCAACTGAGTCAAATCTAGCGGGAAGCCATAAGTGTCCCACAAAACAAATGCTTTCTGCACCAACCACCAGATAGATTACGATAACATAGTTTACAATAATCCAATACCAAATGCACAGGTCGCACTCTTAGCACATCAAGCCAGAATGAAAATTTCATCTGTATATAGAGCATTTGCTGAATACAAGTTCTTAGAGATCTCATTAGAGCAATAAAGTTTCGCATATAAGTACTTGCCTGCCCACTGATTACTTTTCCCTGAGCATCCTCAACCTCCTTAGCATCCTTTTTAAATCTCTCAATTCCCTGAGGATGAATTACAACAACAATGAAGACACAAGAAGAAGAATTCCAAGATACTAAAGAAGGGAGAACACTTGTATACATAAATAATCACCCCTAGGCCCTAGGTAGCAAACAGAAGTACGAGATGACAGAGGAACTACAAGTAATGAAAGATACACATACGCAGAGTCACAGACATCAAATGAAATTACATATCACATAAAATAAGCAGAAGGATACACAAAATTCCTACTTACCTTGAGCAATGTTCTCCCAAAACTTGCTTCCTCTTCCGTTATTATTTCCCTGATATGTTGCTCCTTTTCTTTAAGCTCTTGAAAAACATCACCCATCACTCTTACAACAACATTTACAAGCCTGCATTCATGACAGATCATCAGAAACCGGGAAAAAGTGAACCATCAATATATTTAGTGACAAGCTTTCCTTCTTTCAAGAAAATATGAGTCTTCTTTAGACAGTAAGGGATGCCAACCCTCATTCATGAGTTACGAATGTCAAACAACATGGAAACCTCACATTCACTGTCACAGTTAGTCAATCAAACCCAAATCATCGTAGAATCTGTTTTGAAGACCATAACAAGAAAAAGAAACGCGTCTATTCATACCCGTTAAAAAACCCTTCTCGGGCTTTAAGCTTCTCACTTCCATAGCGAACAGCACGACGAAGAATGCGCCTAAGAACATATTCACGTCCCTCATTACCTGCACAAACGAAAAATAGTGCAGTGCAACGTATTATAAGAATCTCCACAACCAGCAAGCTCGGGTAAAGAATGACCCAAAATAAGTCCATGATAATCTACCTGGACAAGAACCATCAGCAATGGCAAAAGAGAGAGTTCTGATGTGGTCAGCAACAACCCTGTAAGCCATATCAACTCCATCCACATCCTCAGCCCCAACTTTTCCAGAGTAAGGTCGAGCCCCTGTTGCCTGCAGGTATATCTCATCAACTTGTATTTCCTCGACATAAAAAACAAACACTGAAAGAAATAATCTGACTTGAGACCATTACTTGACCTGTACGGGACTATCCCCATAAATAATGAGCCACACAAAACGTTTAAGCAAATTAATTAAAAAGTTTGACGAAAGCTCGAAGCCCAAAAAGTATATGGCTATGATAGCATACAATGTGTGTGTGTGTGGGGGGGGGGGGGGGGGGGGGGGGGGGGGGGTGGGGGGGAGGTGGGGGGGAGAAGAGCGAAGCAACCGAACAGTACCTGCTGAATGGCATCAAAGATGGGCATAAAAACATCAGTATCATAATTGCTCATCTTGTTTTGGAGAATTGAAGTAAGCCTCTCGAAACCCATTCCGGTATCAACATGCTTAGAGGGTAGAGGTTTTAAGGTGCCATCACTTTCCCTGTTGAACTGCAAAATGATGGGAATAGAAGAGGACATGCAATTAGTTTCAAGATCTTTCTAACTCTGTTAGTGCACTCAATCACAAAATCGTCATCAGACATTGGTTTGGAGGGTAAGATGCATGAGCAACAAGCAACGCTGTGACAATTCAGGAGAAGCTATACCTGAATAAACACAAGGTTCCATATCTCAATGCATGTAGGATCGTCATTGTTCACCAATGATGATGCATCCCGATTACCAATCCTATCAAAATGTATTTCTGTACAAGGACCACATGGACCAGTATCACCCATCTCCCAAAAATTGTCCTAGTAGAAGATTGACAAAGCATGTGAATTAATCAGTTGTCTTGCATAGTCTACAACAATTTATTCGCAGCCGCCACGGGAAAATTTGAAGCTAACCAGAACAAGTATTTACCTTGCAACCAAATGGCAGCACTCGTCCAGGTGGCAACAATTTGAGCCACATGTCTCTTGCTTCATTATCAGGAGCAAGACCAGCTTTATCATCGCCCCCAAAATAAGTAGCATAAATACGATCCTCGGGCAGTCCATACACCTATTACCCATAAATAAAGCAGAACAAGGCATGGAAGTGAAACACACGAAGAAATGCACTAGCTGATGTACAAGGGAGAGGAGTTAGAGAAGAAGATGCCATGGACGTGAGGCATGGAGTTGGTTACTTAAGAAGAAGGTCAAACATGTATATATTGAAAGTTTGGAACCATCTGACAATCTTACTGCCATAATACCTTGGTTAGGAGCTCCCAAGCCCATTCAATAGCCTCTTTCTTAAAATAATCACCGAATGACCAATTCCCCAACATCTCAAAGAATGTATGGTGGTATGTGTCCTTCCCCACATCGTCAAGATCATTATGCTTGCCTCCGGCGCGGATACACTTCTGGGTATTACAAGCGCGTTTTAGCTTGCTCAAGTCGGTATTAGGATCAGCAGTCCCCAAGAAGATGGGTTTAAACTGATTCATGCCTGCTCACAGAAGTAAAATTACTAGGGTTGTTCACACAATTATGTCCAAAAATTACACGAAACAATCCACCACCCACGGATCAAAAGGGAATTTCAAGTTCATAGAATAAGAGAATTTCGAACTCGACTTCCTCCCCATACTTCCTCCGAGCAACTAATCAGAATCTACGCGCAACAAAGAAATGGCATCAATCATTCGAGAGAGACTGTAACACTCTGGATCCCCTTACTCGATACAGACTTCAGTATTTATACGCTTGGACAAATACAATTTGACTCCCAAATACAAATTGACTCAATACAAGTCCCCATTCATTACAGAGACATGAAATGAAAGCTCACCAGCATTGGCGAAGAGGAGAGTTGGGTCGTTCACGGGGACGACTGGACTGGACGGCCAGTTCTTGTGGCGTTTTTCCTCAAAGAATTTCAAGAAAGTGCCCCTGACTTTCGCCGCCGGCCACTGGGGCTCTTGTTTCGGGTCTTCCCCAGGCATGGCTGCCGCAGAGGAAGTGGAAAAGCTGGCGAAGTTGAGACTGGCAGAAACCCTAGCTGCCGCCAATAAGGAGAGATGGGTTTTACGGGCGAAGGAGAGAAAACCCAGAGTTGCTGCTACTGCGGATGATGAGTATGACCTTGCGATGCTCTTCATCCATTCTCTTCCACGCTAATAGTTCTTTATATTCCCTTCCTTTTTATTAACCTTGATTTTTTGTGATTCTTATGCCTCAATTTACGATTTTCCGGATAACATTTTTTTTTTCAAACCTGTATTACCGTTATGTGAAAATGGTAAGGAGTATATACTAATTTCCTAATGAGGAAAATATTTTTCATTTAAAAATTATAATTTTCTTGGATCTAGGTTCGAATTTAGAATATCCTAATGTTTTCATTCATAGGTCAATCGAGTTAAGTGTAGTTATTTTCTTGATTGGAAAACCTATAAATTTTAGGTATCACTATGGTTAAACTTGAAGTAACATTATTTGAAATTTGTTAATGGATTGTTTGGATTAGCAATTTATTTTGTATGGGATTTGGTTCCGAAATTCACATCCATTAAATCGAATATTTTAAAAGTGAATTTGGGATTAAAAACTACATATGGGTATGAATGAGAGTTTTGAGAGTGATGACTTTTTTTTTTTACCAATAGATCACTTGTATTACCAAGACAAAAAGCTAGCACAGTTTACAACTCATGAGCAAACCAACGAAAAAAATCAAAAGTATCTACAACTGCAGGCAACAAAGAAAGGGTCTTCCTAGCCACCTCATGGGCCACCCGATTGTAACTTCTGCCAATAAAGGCCATCTCCAAGCGCAGGTAATGATGTCGCAGCTTCCAAATTTCTTCAAGAATCCGCCCGCCTTTCATATCCCGAGCATCCATATTTGCCCGTGATAACTTAAAAATACAAGTTTGCCCATCCAATTTGCATTGACTAAGAAAAAAATTCTTATGTTATTTGCGTCTTATTTTCCTCTACTTCTCTCTATGAATTTCTTAACAAAAGCGATTGAATTCCAAATGAGCAATTGGCAAACAACCCCTACACATTAAAATCCTAAATTAGAAGAATCCTATAAATATACCTTAAATCCGGGAAACCCCACTAGAAGATCTCATTGACGACGACATAGTGGAGGTGGCGAATAATAGTGTGAAGAAGAAAAGAACTTGTTGACGTCAACTTCTTTGTGTCACCTGGAATCATATTCGGCCACCGGAAGATTCTCATAACTTATCATAGATCTATGATTGAAGCTCATAACAGAATCTTTGATTTCATACTCCCCACCGCACCACTGATCGTTAACAAACTTCCCAACTCAAACCAAATTCGTCTTAATTAACAAGTGAAGCTTGACAAACAGTGAGAGGGAGATGCGGAGACAAATCGAATATAGAGGAATCGATGGTGACCTTAACGGATGCCCAATCCTTCCTCAACAAAATGAAACGTTTGCAACTTGGATCCTTAAATATGAACTAACATCCAAAGATATTTATCTTGGAGCCTAATCTCAACTACCCCTAGAAAGGATCTCGATGTTGCAAGCTCCTGATCATTGACATTAGTACTTACATAAATTTAAGATTTCTGTAGATTCACCTTCTGACCACTTAGTCACTCATGCTCCTCAAAGACATGCAGTAAATTTGCACATTCCGGCATAGAGGCCCCTGTAACCACTAATGGGTATGCAAGGTAGGAGTGAAAGTCTGGTACAATGTCGCCCCCAACCTTAAGGCAAGTTTCTTGGTGAAATACTTGAATGGAATGCCCCAAATCTGCAGACTCAATGGACCCACATGAGTGCATCTGCCACTTGTTGAGTTGGTGACACCTGTGACGCAAGAGCAAGCAAGAACTTGGGGAAAATCCACGGAGCATCAACACCAACCTTATGCATATTTTCCTTCAAGGAAAACACTTACTAGGTAAGGCCATAATCCAAACCAAAAAGTGTTAAATCACATTTGCATCTCCAGATATGAATCAATATCGTCTTAAGGATATGGACCATGAGCGCATAATATTGACCACAGAGCACACTTGAAGCCACATCGTCATCATTAAATTAAACCGCAATTGCTATGGAAGGAAATTGTCTTAGAGAGGTATTCACCAAAAACAACGATACGTCATGAAGAAAAGAGGTCACAAAGAGCCGAAGACCGCCCCCTCCCAAAAAAGTCTCTGTGTAGAGGTTTTTTAGGCCCATAATCCCACTAGGGGTCAGACTCCGACACCACGTCCGCATGACAACAGAAAGCTCGTAACGGCTTATGCGCACGATGGCATAATTCACGATCCACCCACTTGAGGGAGAGAGGACAATTTGAGAGTTTTTTTATACAAGATTGTGCATTTCTTAATGTAATGCTTTACATTTTAATTCCACAACTATTCAACTAATCAACTTTGTCCTATTTGGAAATTAATTCTCATAGTTAGCAGTTAAATGAGTTACGTGACAATTAAAAATAAAAGAAAAAAAACTGATTCTTTTAAATTTTCCGCCTCTTTCACAACTATTAAAAATTAAAATTTAATTCCTTTTATTTTCCTAAACACCCAAAACGAAACCGACATAACCTCATCAATCTCTCTTGTATGGTACTAACTCCATTTTCACGACATCACCAGCTATCTCCCTTTCCTCCAATCTCACACTTGTCGTCCCCTCCATAAACAAGTGATTTGGGCGAAATTCGACACAACAAGAGATTTGGACAAAATCCTACCTCCCACTACAATTCAAAACCCTTATTGTTTTGGTTATTTTCTTAATTAACATTTCTTATGCTCATATGGAGAAATGTGTACAAAGTTCATTATCCTTCCCCTTGCTACTAGGGATGTCAATTTCGACCTAACATGTTTTACCTTACTTGTTTGACATATTTTTGTGAGCAATATCCACCTCGTAAGCGGGACAGGACGAGTATGTGTAATCTTGTCAACATGACCCACCCCATTCTCGACGCATTTTGCCTAAATTTTATTTCACTGCACTCTGATTGTTTAGGAGTTTACTTTTATAGCTACAATGAAGTTGTGAGAATTTTACTTTCTCAAATAATTTAATTATATTTATCATTTTATAAATTTTTTTGTTTTTTGTTTTTGAAAAAATTAACATTCTAATATTTTTATTTCGAATTACATACCAATTTGGATAGCTCTATCGTACAATATGCACCCAATAATAAATTATACGATTTGAACCCGACATACCACATTACGGGTATGGGATATAACCGCCCGACCCAACCCGATACCATTCCTACTTGCGACGGCTATCTTCCCCGCTCCGGTAAGTCGGTAACCACGAGGCCCGCTTCCGCCGCCGCGGAGCCTCGAATTAGAAAACAGATTGGGTAAAATTGGGAACCGGAGAAAAATTTAGGTAACGGTGAAATCAAAGAAAAGCGCATCTCAAACATGGCGAAAATCTCGATCATATCGCAATTTCACACAAAGCATCAAGCTTCCGACTCCGTCAAAAATCCGAAAGAAATATATAAAAAAAAATGGCCGCCGGGCAAGCTCGGCAGCCAATCGGAGATCTCAACCAAACAAGTCAAAAATACAAATTCACGCCAATTAAATCAACGACGATGACGGAGAGTGGGAATCGCGCAATTAATTTTTAACGATTCTTACAGGTAAACCACAAGCTATGTACAAGACATCCCGCCGGTCAGAACTCGTCGTCATCGGAAGAGCTGGAAGAAGACACGAACTGCTCAATCTGCTCCAAAAAGCTCAGATCCTGAGGCCGATCTTTCCTCTTCACATAACCTCTCGCCTCTTTCTCGCCGTACACCCAATACCCTCTCTTCCCGCACCTCTCCCACATCTCTATCGCGTAGCTTTTCTCCGCGAAATACGCCTCCACGCCGCCGCCGCAGGCGATTATTTCCTCTCCTCCTCCGTCCTCCGCCGTGGGCTCCACCTTGATTGGCAGCCGCTCGTAGTGGCCGCGCTCCGTGCCCTCGAGCTCGTCCAGGCGGGCGAGTCCTCGGGCGGAGACGGCGTACAGCTCGCCGGAGACTCGGTCGGCGCCCGCGGCGCCGGGGAGGTTAAGGAGGAATGGGACGCGGTAGGGCCCGCAGACGAGAGGATGGGGTTCGACGGTGCGGCAATTGCATCGGAAGGCGACGTCCCCTGAGCGCATCAGATCTTGAATCAAGCCGTGATTGGAGAATCCCGTCTTCAGGGTGCCGTACGTGAAGATATGCGTCGCCACCGCCGCCGGACGGTGGTTCTCTCTACCTTCGTCGACACCCATTGTTTGTCGGACCTGTGTTGATTAGAGAGAAAGAGAAAGAGAAAGGGAGAGAGGAGAGACTCACTCCCACAAATGCAAAGGCCAAAGGTTGCTCGATTGAGAGTTTAGAGGAGAATTTAATTAACTTGAAAATATTTATATTAGTTAAGAAAATCTGACTAAATTCTTTCTATTTCTTTTTTTTTTATGGGTAATTCTTTCTATTTCTAGTGGAAAGAATTGAGAATAATTATTGAAAAACCATAATCACCAATTATGTTTTTTTTTTTAAATCACCAATTTTGTTGAAATAGCTTTGGAGGAGGAAATTATTAATTAATAGAATTCGCAATACTCGATCTGGTTGACTTGTTTTGGTGGAGTCAGGTATTATCCGATAGGCAGAGTTAGACTGGATAGATATGAGTACTTTTCTCGATCTGATCCGTCTTGATACTTATTATTGTCCGGCTTTATCTAAATTATTTGTAATTTTACTCAAATTGTTTAGATATTTATTTTATTATATAATACATTAATGATAATTAAGTTGTAAATATGTGAGATCTTCAATTTCTCGAATTAATTCTATTTATGATGTGATAGTTTGTTTATTGACTTTTTAATGAAGCATCAATGTTTTAGCCATCAAGACTCTCTCCATCGACAACTCTCATCGAAGGGAAGAAGTCCTAATTGGCTGGTCAAAGCCCCCTGCTGGTTGGCACAAGCTTAACACTGATGGAGCTGCTCAGGGTCACCAGGGTATCGTCTCTGTAGGGGGAGTTCTCCGCGATCATGATGGAGATTGGATAGGAGGTTTCGTCAGCAAATTAGGCTCAGGATCAGCTCTTTTGGCAGAGTTGTGGGGTATCCTGAAAGGCCTTGAACTCGCCTGGAAAAAAGGGTCGCGCTTCCTAATCCTTGAGTCGGATTCACAGCTTGCTCTTCATCTAATTGAGAAAAGAACGGACAACGCTCACCCGCACTCGACGATCTTAGGAGCTATTCGGCGATACCTAGCTAAAGAATGGGTGATTCGTCTGGTTCATACGTATCGTGAAGGGAATAGAGTCGCGAATTGACTCTCGAAGCACAGTCTCGTCTATCCCTTTGGCACGTACGAATTGGATGATCCCCCTTTAGAGCTTTATAGAATGTGCCGTGAAGATATCCTCGGAGTTAGTTTCGCTCGACATGTGATTCAGAGGGCTGCTCCTTGATTTTTTCTGTGATCTGTTCTCAATTCTCATGCTCTGTTTTTTCCCACTTTTTTGCTGCTGCGTTCCTGTGCCCTGTTTCTTACCTTTTAGGCCCTGGGCTTTTGTAACTCTGCGTTCATGCCTCCCTTCCTTCAAAAAAAAAAAAAAAAATCTATTGACCTACACTATCCACACTCAAGAAAAAATTCGTAACCTAAACTCAATATGTCACGAGACTAGTATGAATATTGAGATAGCCACCGACTTCCCCATCAATATCAATCGAATCTCAAACCAAATGCGAGCGATCAAAATCCCAGGGACCAAATACAATTCGGTTAGTATTATAGCATTCATTAGGGTTAAGACGTCTTAACATGAACTAGTCACCCAAGACACTTGTATATTTAAACAAAATTCAGTGCCCTTAATGTGAGTATATCCTTCTCTTTTCCCCCTCTTTTTTCTCAACAATTTTCTGTATATCATACATTATAATTATACAACTGCGAGGAGTCGCGTGAAACAAACACATAACAAGGATGAGCAATCCTTATCCCAAAAGAAAAGAAGAAACATTGACGTATCTGTTCCTGTCATGGTTAAGCCAGTGGTCATGATGGTCAGGGTTTATCTCTACTTCGGTGATTGATCACTCATTGTAAAAATAACCACAATCAGTATTCATTTCTTGTGCCTCTTTTGAGAATCACTCACGCTGGGCAAGAATCTCGACACCGAATATGGGCACCCGAAGAACCGCAGAATGTTCTTGCAGTCTTTCTCCACGACCTCGTCTGGAGCAGTCCTTAAATGGCTTAGATAAGTCTTCCCTTCGTATATGTAAGAGAGTTGCTGCCAGAGAAGCACACTTAGCCCTATCTGCACTGATATGCTGGCAAAGAAGAGATACATCAGCACCAGCCCTCTTGATGACAGAAGCAAAGCTGAGTTCAGCAGGGCTAGGAAAATCTCTCTCAGTGTTCTCCAAGCTAGATCGCTGTTTACCCCGCTCAATGACCCTAGGGGGTGTTTGTAAGTTAATGGCGGCCATATCAGGGATCCCACGTAAACTGACATGAATGCAACATATAACATGCTGGTCACAGCTGAGATGAGGAACAAGATGAAGTGCCGGTGGTTTGCTGCACCTACGCAGTTTCCTATCTGCACAAACAACAACATATGAATGTGCTTTGTTGAGTGTCAGGCACCAGAAAGCATGAGAAAGAGGAAGCATCAAGCTGGAATAGATTGAGGAAGAAGACTTGATTGATGGCTTGTAGGTGAAAATTGTTAGTAAAGGGTTGAGTACATAAGTACTATGGCTTCTGTGTCTGTTCAGCTGCGCTATGAGTTAATAAACATCACCCCAGCCGGAACTCCATGTAACAGGCAAGGGAAAAACCACGTTAAACACTTCAACCCAGAGCCTATGTTGGATTTTGCAGCTACATGGTATAGACCTAAGTATCGCCAAATCCACGAGACTTGCACTCATGTTTCACCACACAAATCAAACCTCGCCCAAAGTCCCAAACCCCTATAGAAATAACGTGTGTATTCAAGTCTGTTATCATCCTCTTCTCCTATCCAGGGGGCAAAGGTTTTCAAAAGCATACTTTAGTGGCACGTTCCAAACAGAAAAGCAAAGGAAGCCTGTCTTAGCATTGAGAAGCACGATTATAGAGGAAGCCTATCTGCAAGATTCCAACTAGTCTTTAAATCACAAAAAACAGACTTACAAAGGGGCAGTGGTGATCCATGTCCAGGATACATATTCCACAAGAGCGACAATGATGACTCCTCGGTGATTTGGGCTTTGAACAATCATGACAGAAGGTGTAGTTCTCAAGGTGACCTTTCCCCACAGCTGGATAGCTCCCCCAATCTATGATAGGTGGTGTGCCAGCACACCCAAAGGAAGCAAGAACGAATGTTGAAAGAGTGCTCAGAGACAATACAGCTGCTATAAACGAGTGAAGAACACCAGCAAATAGGCCGTTGGCGAAAAGAATTGGGAGCACAGCCCACAACCCACCACCTGCATAGTCAAACAAGAGAGGGACATCAAATATACATGAAAGTAGAGCATCTTAAGCAACAAGGAGGGACTGGGGAAGTACAAAACCAAATGAGCACAGTATCTCTGGAACAGTTTCAAAAACAGGATTTCTCATTAAAGGTAACACGGGTGTGCCATACCTATTACCAAGAGCATGAAGCCAAGAAGGACACATACGAAGCATCGGTCTCTCAAGCGTTTCCACCAGAACCATTTGTTCTCACGCTTTTTATCGTTCTGGTTCGTCACTGCTCCGCACCAACCGCACTTGAAAATCGGTGCATAGGATGGAAGAATTAGGCGCAAACCACACCCCCAACAAGTCGTCTCATGATCCTCCGAGACAGTCGCCACAAATTGGTCCTGCATTACCAAGAGGGAGAGAAAAAATGGCATTCCTTTATTGTTTCAGCACAAGACTGCGGCAGGTAATAACTGTTTCTCCTTTTGATGACCAATCCATCGAAATACTAGATCCTCTAAAGATTTAAACATGGAACTTGTTAGTTTCAATCATCTTCCTTTAATACCAACGCAACCGCAGCTAACAGCCAATTAGTGGCAGAAGTTCAATCTCAGCGTTAGCCAAACCCAGTTTCATCTCTTGTGAAAAATTCAGCTACTACCATTCCATCTACCTAAAAGCTTTTGGCCAATATGAATCCCATCGTGAGTCAATGATTCGAACCACAACATGAATAACAAAAGATGGAAACCCATAAACTTTCAGCTTTCCTCCAATCGATTATTGCCAGAAGTGAGGGATAATATATCAATCCTATCAAAGCCATCGCAGACAAAACTAGGTACGAATTCGAGGTCAAGGCAGAAAGTTGTTTACATGAGACGAGAAATTTGAAAACGGAGGGAAACTATGATCAATTCTCCACAAGGCAGAGAAACATAAGAAGAAGCGGCGACGAAAAGGAAAATTGGAAGAAGGAGAAACGGGGAGAAGAAGAAAGGGGAGGATTGATTCAGGACTGACCTTGTCGTCGGAGTCGGCCATGGCGAGACGGGGCCTCGGCCGGCTTCGTTATCTCAGATATGCTCAGTCGGACAGAGACGGAAGGAGCCTTCACCTTCCCCCAACCCCCTCGCCTCGCCTGTTTCTTCATTTTTCTCCTCTTTTTTCATTTATTTTTGTTTTACTTTTCCCCTTAATTTTCTAGTTTGCTAAATACCGTTCCAAAATTATTAAAGGTTGTCCTAAACTTGATACATACATTAAAAAAAAAGTGCTCATTTCTAGCTAAAGGCTTAAACCAAACAATATATATTCCCATTTATAAAAAAAACAATATATATTCCCTTATTCTCTTTCAATTCTGCACCATCTCCACCCCACACCATGATTATATATTTAGAATTTAGTTTAGTATTTAAATTTTAGTTTAATACTTATAATTTAGTTGATAGGGGTTGAATTTGTTATTGAATTGAGTTGGTTTTTCCAAGAATAGTAATCGTATTTAGTTGTTATAAGAATTTAAGTAGGTCCTTGATTTGGTCGAGTGTAAAATGTAAATAAGTTTAGGTTCATGCTCTCATGGCATTGAATTTGAAGTCACTCTACTCGTTAAGGAGGAGAGAGCTTTTAATGATAATTCACTTGTCTTCGTGTTAGTAGTTGTGAAAATTAAGATTTTGAGCTTAGTTAGCAGTAACTAGGTTAACTTCTCTTTACGGGGTCTTTCAAGATTGATTCAAAGGGTCAATGAAAATACTGAGGAAATTCGTCAAAATCACACCATACCAGACCAGTAGGCATATCTTTCACTTAAAAAAAAGGTTGTTTCCTGTCCCCAACTAGCAAGCAACTATGATCGATGGACAGATTGTGACCACCACTCTCTACATGAAAACTCGAGTTAAGTGGAGAACCTTCTCATTGTGTTAAGTTTGAGAGCATGTTGTCTGTGATAGGCACATGGTTTCTTATACTTAATCTCGAATTTATTCGAGTAAGAACTCAAATAGTATCTCGGATGCAAGGTCTTCCATTCATCCACCAACGAAAGAGTATCTTCTTTCTATCAACCACATAAAGTATCCTTCCCAGTTCCCATACCAATCTTGGTTCGATCCTATTCCTAGGGCCGAAATAATGTTCAAATTACAGAGTTATCAAATTGTATTGCTCAATAAATTACCATGCTACATGAGTATCACATATGTCACGTAAACAATTCATTTGTTGCGTTAGCGTCAACTAATATAATTTTTATTATTATTAAATGGTATTTCAATAGATTTTATTACTATTTTGTGTAATATAAAAATTTTTCCTTGTAAATTATACTAATCTGTTAATTTAAATATGACAAATCTGATCTAACCCTCCTCAAATCACTCCCCTTGTAATATTTTTGAAATGCAGGAAAACAAATACTTAGAATCTCCACTATAAGTTATAACGTGTTGGCGATGTATACTCAACATACTTGTAAATAGAAGATAAATTCATCTTTGTCTTCTCATTTGCGTGAACATATTCTAATTGTTGGATCGGATTAGAATAAACCAAAAATAGATCCCCTTAACAAAAACAAGTCGTTTTTCATAACTAAAGGAACATTTCCCCCCATTGACTAATAGTGTTTAATTTTACTGGGTAATTAAGCCCTCTTGGCGTACGTGGCTTTGTACTCTGACCAAAGTTGATCAACATTCTTCCCCAGCAGATCCACAAAATAGCCGACCGTATAACCATTCCTCATCTTGTAATTCAACTCTCCGACGAAACCTCTCTTCAGCTTGTTGCAGTACCCAAGGAAATGGGCCGCAACGTCGAACCCACGGCCCAAACTCTCACCTTCTCCGGCGCCCACCCAACCGACGGCCTCGTAACCGGCCTTCATCCTCACGTAGTCCGCCATTCCCGTCGTCAGCCACGCCGGCGCCTCCCCGTTCCCCGTCCACTGCAAGATGCTCGCCACTTGGTTGTACACCAAACCTGCAAGCGATTTAAGCGTCAGTAAACCCATAATTGAATCTCTTGCAACAATCAGTGTTATTGACATCAACGGCGGACTAATAGTTTTTGAACAGGTGTGTCGACTCATCAATGCTTAGTAACTTTATATGATAAATTTCTTTTATCATAATAAAGGTGTGCCAGGTTATAATTTCCGGAGAGGAAATTTTTGTACCTATGAAACCTGTATATCTCATAATAAAAAAATGTAAGTGGAAGTGTACACGTCGCACGACACACCTCATCATCATCGCTTGAGTCCGTCCCTGATTGAGACCAACTAGTTCTTAACGACATTCTGTTACGGAGTATCGGAGTAAGTATAAAAAGAATATCTACCTGTGAATTCCCTCTTGAGGTCGCCGTTGTATTGGCCCAAGTAGTTAGCGTTGATGTGTACGATGGAGCCGTTAATGTAGGCTGCGTAGCCGTTGTAGTCTTCGCTCATTGACTCCACGACCAGCCCGATCGAGGGCACGATCTTCTTGCTGCCTGGGTAAGCCAGCTGGTTGAATGCTCGCCACGAGAAAACGGTGGCTTTGGACATGCTCCGTTTGGCGTACCACTCGCCGATCTGGTTCTGGAAGTCGATGCCTCCTTTCGTGTTGAGGGCGTTGTTGGAAACTGAGTAGACGATGGGCAACTCGACGGCTTCCACGGCAGCAGCTCCGGCCATATGCACTGCGACGGCGAGTATAGCCAGGAGACATTTGAGGCCCATTTTCTGATACTGGGAAGTAGAGTACTAGAGAAGTTACAGAGGTTGCTGGGTTTGTGGGATGAGCTGTGAAGGTGCAGAGGGTGTTAATTTATAGGGAGAGAAGGGAAGCATGCAGGGCTTTCCTAATTTAACTTGAGTTGCACATGAGATCTACTGCCAACTGGTAACCAACAAGGGAAGAGACAGGAGGTGGAATAATTTTGACGAGTTGTTGTGGAACTCTCGACTAATAATATGACGGCTAACAGATCTTTTGATGCCTTTTTCCTATTCGCAAACAGATCGAGATTATTATATGTCAGAATGGCTTTGGAGGTACGCCCCTTGAAAACGAATCATGCAGCTTGGTTTGTGGATGCAAGTAAACAAGTTACAACGCTTGGTTTAGTCCTTTAATTAGCGCATATATTTAATTAGCGCATACTATTAAATTGGATTTCCAAAAACTTGACAATTATTTCGTGTAAAATTTAAAGTTTGCATTTATATTATACGCATCAGTTAATTTATATATGAAAATTCGAATTTAATTTTAATTTTAATTTTTTTTTCACTGTTGTGTAGCCAGTAGTTTGTGCGAGACTTCTGAGTTGCATCACATTTTGTAATACGTTGTCGGTGGGATGTGTGGAGTTGTTTTGGAGGCAGAGTTACTGAATGTCGTGGATGTGTCCCCCTTTGCTCGAGTTTTGTCCTTTCCCAACCTGCTGGCTGGCTGCTGCTTGCTCTACTCTACTCTACTGGAGCATTTTTATGAGTCGGTGGATGAGAGATGGATAACCATTCTCCAAATAGTAACTGGTGGACCATATCCAAATCCGTGCTACTCGTTGGAGGATCGTATGGTGTTGGCGGTTGGGTTGTGCGGGATAATGCAAGTACGATTGTTAGTGCGATGACATTCCTTTGTGATGGGATTGATGTCTCGTTTCTTGTGGAGATTTTGGCTCTAAGGCTCTCTAAAACCTCTCAATCTCCTACGTACAACCAATGAGTCAATGACAAAATATTTGTTTTGGTGTTTTTCTGCTAACCAAAATTCATTTAAACCAAAAGTTATATTCCATGAACAAATTTCAACATAAAAAATAAAATTTTCATAAATTGATGAATAAAATTTTCGGCTAACGCGGCTTGTTGGTGTTTGGCTCGGGTTGTGGATAGCCTAATGGCCGGCATAGCTTAAACAAGTGGGCGAGACAACAGCTCCGCGCGGAGATATGCATTCCAGGCAAAACTAAAAGGTCAGATTTCAATAGCCTTGCACAATGCACATGATCCACCAATAGGAAGAAGACAGTTCAAGCACTAGTTGAATTGTATTCAAAATATGCGGGCAATACAACAGCTCCATGCGCTATTCGAATGCATCAAATTAAGGTGATAAATCCCAAAAAAGATTTGACATCAAAATAGATTAAGCGGGGTTTCTTAGTGCACTTCATCAAAGTGACAATGTAAGTCTCTACTTGGTGGGTTTCTTCCCCTTGGTTTGGAAAGGAATAAATGACTTTCCGCCCAGGTAAGGTCTCAGAACTTCTGGGACCTCAACCCCGTCTTCCTTCTGGTAATTCTCCAGGATGCAGCATAGTGTCCTCTCGGTAGCCGTCAGGGTCGAGTTCAACAGGTGAACATATTGCTTCGCTGCCTCATTTCCCTGCGGCATTATCATATACTCGGTAAGTACTTTATAACCGAATCAACTATTGCTAAATCACAACCCATGATGGAGGTAGACAAAGAGGTTGGCGCAGACCTTTTTCTGCCCGTATCGGATTTCCAATCTCCTTGATTGGTAATCGGTACAATTCGAACACGACACCAACTCCCTGTATGTTTTTGAAGCAGGAAACCATGCTTCGAGATCGTACTTCTTAGCAGCAGCATCATTCAAGGCTCCAGAAACTATTGCAATTACTTGATACGGTAAGTTCAGCTGTAAGAAAAAAAGGAACGTAGCTATCAACATTAGTTTCTGAATGTGCAAAAGGCAATACACAATATATGATAGGGCTATGCACATTTGTGAAAAGAAAGAGAGTACCGATTTGTAGAAGTCCTCAGAATTCTTGATCATTTCCTCATGCATGTCCCATGAGTCAGTTCCATTGGGGCTAGTAACACAGAACTGCTCCACTTTCTCAAACTGATGAACTCGGAAAATTCCTAAAGTATCTCGGCCATGGGAACCGGCTTCTTTCCGGAAACATGATGAGTATCCAGCATATCTGGAAAGCACGTTAAACTAGTGAGAACAAAATTCATTCCGGAACTTCTTCCATAAAGATTACTAGTGTACTTTGCAATTATACCTGATTGGTAGGTCAGTGGGCTGAATCCAATCATCTATGTGATACGCACATAATGGTTGTTCAGCAGTAGCAATTAAATACTTATCGTCACCCTCTCCAGTCACCTATTCAATATGAAGTACATAGTTCAGCACAAAGGAACAAGCATATGCTCACATAATACGTGCTTATTTATACGATACGTGCTTATTTATACGCCCTTTGAAATTAAATATTTCACTACACTTTGGAATGTTACCTTGTACAGTTCTTCATCAAACTGAGCTAACTGAGCGCACTTTGCCATGACTTCCTTTCTCATGAAAAATGGAGTCTGCAATGCTGTGTACCCTCTCTTATCCAAGAAATCTAAGCCATAATTAATCAGCGCCTGGTTTAAACGTACACCATCACCTTTTAGGTAGAAGCCTCGACCTCCAGCTATGTTGGCTCCTGATCATTTTAAAAAGAACATAACTAACAAACAAACATGCTCAAGAAGGCCAAAGCAACTTGAATTTCAATAATAAATTCAAGGACTGATTCTAGAAAGTAGAAATGAATAAATGCATAACATCACATTGAGCACCTTAATTCAGGTTGGAAGATACAAATTAAAGACGGATATGAAACCAAAAAAGGGATACATGCTACAGGATGACCGAAATTCAATGAGCAGAAAATGGAATGACAATACTTAACAATCGAAAACAAGAATAATCAATGAGGCACGGAGGCATACATAATTACAAAACGAACTAATTAAAACACCATCACACCAAAGCACCTTTCTTTGTGTCAGCAATCCCAAGAAGTTCAACGAGGTCAACATGATTTTTCAACTTCTGCTCTGTGCGCTTCTCTCCCCAAACCCTAATAACAGCATTATTTGCCTGCGAAACCCAAAAGTGAGGAAAAACCCCAATGTTAGACGAGCTCCTGGGCAACATTCCATAAACTAAGGTGCAGATTTGCAATTGTGTTCAACATCAAAGTCCTGCTCACCTCATCCTTGCTGATAGGGACTGAATCATGGATAAGGTTGCCAACAGTTTCAAGCTTCACATACAATGCCTTCTTATCAGCCTGCACCTCATCCTCTTTTACTGCCATTTGTTGCTTGTGCTCCTCAATGCTCTTCATTAGTTCAGTTACATCTAGATTGTCCTGATTTTTAAATCAAATCAACAGCCAACAGATTTTGAGAAACCAATAAACATAAACGCCAATATGAAGACGGGAAACGAAGAGGACAAACACCAGTGCTCACCTTCTTATGCTGGTAAACTTGCTTGTTCATTTTATTGAAGTCTTTTCTCATATTATCGAGCTGGAATTGACCTGAAAAAACAGAGGCCCGGAACCAGTGTGAGACATTCACAGTAGTAACAGCAGCGCTAGATTCGAAAAGACGCCAGAAAGGGCTGAAAGGAAGGGGACGTCTTAATTTACATACATTGTCTCCATTTCTTGTCGAGCTCAATAATCTCATCAACAATCTCAACACTGGCAAATCGGCGGCGCTGCGATTCCCGGATGATTTCCGGGTTGTTTCCCTTATCTTCCCTAAACAGATTAATGTCCAACATCCTTCCTGTTCTCCAAAAACCTAGCCAGGAAAAATCCCCCCACGTTAAACAAGTCCACAAAGCTCACCCTTTCTGACTTAAAACACAAAATTCGGAATCCGAGTCGTGCTCAGAGAAGCAAGTTTCACTCAGATCGTACGCCAATGAAAGGGAGCAGCAACAGGTGCTACGAGAGCCGAAAGAACAGCTCATTGACTCATCAGCAAATCATGTTAAAAAAAAGGCAAGACGAGTTTCTCGTCTAGACGATGCTTTCGGGCGAACCAGAAGAGTGAAGTTACGTACCTGAACTGGTTGGAATAGGTGAAGAAGATGAAGTTCAGGCGCTGACGGGAGAGACGAAGCCGCCGGGGCTTTCAAGCTATGAGCGAGGGGAAGGTTTAAGGGAGAGACGAACTGTATAAGTATTCTTCTGCCAGCGTCCGTTGTTTTCCTTGGTCCGCAAAGAATTTTGCGGCGGACTGCCCCTTCTGCGAAGATAGCTGGGCCGGGCCGGGCAGCTCTTCCTATCTAATCAATGAGAGTTTAGTGGGCTATCCTTCAAAGCCCGACTGATTAAGGGGTTTCTTCTTCAGGGTGTTAATCCGAATAATTTAGGTTAGTCCACCTAAAATAAAATAATGGCTGTTTGACTGTTTCCCCGGAAATATTTAACCGTTAGACACTTGGCCGGTACTGATGATATTTAATTATTTATTGCGTATTTGAAGTATTAAGACAAATAATTTATTAATGACAATTAAGCCAATGAACCAAGAACTTAATTTCTCGGAGTTTTCCTTGTCTGATAAGTCAAACTTGGCTAGCACTTGGCAAATGAAATTTTCATTGCCGGGAAACTTACTCTTGTTTGCCAGGAAACTGATTTACGTAGTCTAATTATTTTATTTAAGTTAAGCGGTTGGTGGGAGATTGTCACATTGATAGGCATTAGTATGTATATATAGCATCCACAAAATTTGACATATAACCTCATCCCATCTATTCCTGCTAGCTAGCAAACATTCCAATTAGAGGTGGCAATTTCAATCCAATCCACCAATCCAATCCATCAATCCATTAAAAATATCCACCTAATCCAATCCATTTAAATCCAATCCATTTGATCCAAATCCAATTGGATTGGTGGATTAATGGATTGGATCCATGGATCATTGGCAAATTACGGTTTAGTACCCATAATTTTTATTTTTTACATTTTGGTACCTAAAATTTCATTTTTTATACGAAAAATATCATTGGAAAATTACGTTTTGGTACCTAAAATTTTTCATTGTGACATTTTAGTACCTAAACTTTTTACATTTTACATATTGGTCATTGGTTGAGGATGTCATTTGGATTCATGGATAATCCACCAATCCACTTGATCCAATCCATGAATCCACCAATCCATTAGATCCAATCCATTTGATCCATGGATCCACCAATCCAATCCACCAATCCACCAATCCAATCCATTTGCCACCTCTAATTCCAACCCTAATTAATCTCCCATCACCTCGAGAAGAAAACATCAGCAACCATGGTTCTCTTTGATTTCAAATCAGACAAGCACTTTGTTACCTCTTCGGACAAAACCACCCTTAGAGTTTGTGAGTTGAGCGATCCTTCTATTCACCCTTCTCTTATCAGAAATGCTCACTGGAGAGAAGTTGGCAATATCACGGTTGATAGCGACGATGATGATGATAGAGACGTTGATGACTTGGCAGAAGAGCGGTACTACGACGGCCTGTTGTTTTTCGATGGCCATGGGATGATCGAGGGACAGGAAGCCCTGACCAGGCTAGCACAACAACTCACCAGATTGGGTTTGATGGTGAGCCCTGGAGGGTGCTGCTTCCAAGACGTGACTGAGCTCCGCGAGCATAAAGAGTTCGGAATTCACTATCTCCGGTTGAACGATCTCTTCAACTGGTCCAATCATGGTGTTTACTCGGCAAAGATCGGCATGTGGCAGCGCTTGGAGTTGAAGTACACGGTGCCAAAGCATAAGAAAATATCAAAGTCGCCGATGGCGGTGGGCGTGGTGAGTAAGGAGAAGTACGAGGAGTTGAGAAGGATGTTGAACGAGAAGAAGGAGGAGCTGAAGAAGGTGACCACGGAAATGGAAGACGAGATTCAAAAACTGAGGGATGACCACGAAGAAGAGCTACAGAAGGTCCAACAAGAGATGGAAGCGGCCATTGACAAGAGAGATGCCGAGCTACGGAAGGTGAAGAAGGAAAAGGGCGAGGAGTTGCGGAATCTGAGGAAGGAGAAGGACGAGGAAATACGAAAACTGAGGCGGGAGATGTGTGATGAAGTGGAAAGACTGGAGAGAGAGAAGGATGAACTAACATCAAAGCAGCTAGATCAGAAGAAAGACAAGGAGGAAACGGTTCACCAACCGGGAAAGGAGCAGGAAATGAAGATGCTGAGGAGGGAAGCAAACGATTTGAAGAAGCAGGTCAAAGAGAAGGACGAGGAGTTACTAAAGCTGAGACGGGAGTTAGGCCAGCTAGAGCGGTATAGTAACAACTCATGGACAAATCTAGGTTCTGTAAAATACGTTGCTACCGGCTACGGCAGGCTCAGAAAACGGGTGCCGCGAGAGAAGTTTGAAAGGTACAGCGAAATGAAGATCGTGCATGGCTGCCACCGCTATGCTCCCCACACGACGGCGTTTTCGGCGTTCCCTAGGCTGTACATCGGTGTTTTAGACGAGGTGTCGACCGACCATTGGCCGCTTCCTCCTAGCGTTAAGTTTTTGGTTGGTAACGGCGGCCAGTTCGACGTCGACAACTGGTGGTTTATGAAGACGTCTCACCCGGAAGGAGGCACGACGATGCTGGCTTTTTACGACGGCAGTCTTTCGAGTTGTGCGGACGTCGGGTATACATGCAATACGAGATTGTCTTACCCTAGGGGTCGTGATTTTTATGCGGATAGAAGCTTCTTCCTGGTTTCTATGGATAGTGAATGGAGGCTGGCTTTTACGTATCGAGAGTAGATGATGATGCTGCGATGCTAGCGCTTGGTGCATGGCTTGTTTTTTTTTTTTTTTCCATCAACTTTTTTCTCTATTATGATTCGTTGTTTTTTTCTCGTTCATCTTCCCTTTTTGTCGTGAATTAAAAAGATGTGGGACAAATAATTAGTCATCTAATTCTAGTACTGATCATTGAGCTGATTAGAACTTCCTACCACGCTAATTAATGATAGTTTGATGCACACACTAACAGTCGTTAGTCGAATCGTCTATTGTTATAGGTGATCGCGCAAAGGAATAATTGTAATGGTTGGTCTGAAAGTAATTAGCTTCTTTGCTAGAGGCTAACTCTACCAAAAATGATAAACAATAAAGAGAAACTGAAACAGAACTCTTTTCTGAGATATATACAAAATTTCCAGCTGTTTTTAAAGTACAAGTAAATGGTAAACCATTTTTTTACAAATTTATGTGTGTTGTTACTCCTCATATTACGGTAAAAAAAGTTAAAATATTTTTAAGAATAATCAAATCGTCAGAGCAGTTATTATAAGAAAGCACATATAACTTAATTTATAAGGTCAATGCTTGTCAATTGTCATCATGTACTTTTGGTTTGTTAGAAGGAATCAGTCGATGGATTAATACATAATAATGACCGACCCACCCCACCGGTACTAGATAGTCTTTCTATAATATTGTTCAGTTACATTAATCAAGTTATTATGAATTGTTTATTGTGCATTTTGTTTGTGGTCTTTTTTTAATCAAAGACTTGCTCTGAAAACAATTATATACCAATATATAATTATTGCCTTGTTTATGCGAAAGTATTTTAAATGTGTCATTTACATCGTTTGGTACCAAATGAATCGAGAATTTATTTCATTGTAAAATGAATTACTGTGTAGAATTCATTGTCAAATGAAATATTGTGTTTGGTGTGTCATATTCAAATTCTTAGAAATAAAATGAATTACCGTGCAGAATTCATTGTCAAATGAATTCCTGTGTTTGGTATATCATATGTATAAATAATTGGGTGTGCCTACGGTGACATGCATGTCACGGTGACTTGCACTTTCCGGTCGACCTCAGTTAGGATTAGGTCGACCTCACATAGAATTCGGTCGACCTCATATAGGATCCGGTCGACCTCATTTAGGATTCGGTCGACCTCATATAGGATCCGGTCGACCTAATATGTTGTTTCAGTGTAAAAACGGTTCATGGTGCCTACTTTGGATATTCATATCATACAATTGGCTAGATGGAAATTGAAGACTAATGACTTGTTTTGAAGCTGGAGTGTCCCTCTACATATTGAAGTGATTGAGAGCTCGATAGGAAGTCCAGAAGACCATTTTTGAACCTCATCAAAAGGCTATGCCAAAACTGGGAAACTGCCTAGAAATGGCTAAGTCTGGAAACGTGTTTGTGAAGCCTATTTTTGAGCTCAATTCGAGAAGCATGAATGCGAGTCGAGTCCAGGAGCCTCTACCACGTTAAATTAGGTATGTTTTTATACAAATTCAATGAATTGGATGAAAGATTGGATATCTTTAAGGCTTCAAACAAAAGGGTCGAAGTTGCTACGAAGGCTGTTTTTCTGGCAGACTTCGAGCACAAGCAAGCTGCCAGAAAAACAGCCTTCGTAGCAACTTCGAGCCTTTTGTTTGAAGCCTTAAATATATTCAATCTTTCATTCAATGCCTTGCCTTTGTATAAAAAAATACGTAATTTAACGTGGTAAAGGCCCTTGGACTTGACTCGCATCCATGCTTGTCAAATTGAGCTCCAAAGTAGGCTTGACAAACACGTTGCCAGACTTAGCCATTTTTAGGCAGTTTCCCAGTTTTGGCATAGCCTTTTGGTCAGGTTCAAAAATGGTCTTCTGGACTTTCTATTGAGCTCCCAAGTACTTTAATGTGTAGAGGGACACTTCAGCTTCAAAACAAGCCTTTAATCTCCAATTTCCATCTAGCCAATTGTAAGATATGAATCTCCAAATTAGGCACCATGAAACTGTTTGTACACTGAAACAACTGATTAGGTCGACCTGATCCTATATGAGGTCGACCGAAAAGTGCATGTCACCGTGACATGCATGTCACCGTAGCAAAGTCCTAAATAATTTAGTTAATAAAAGAGGATAATTATATCATTCTATTATAATTTGTAAATACTTGTGGAATTCATTTGGAAATTCTATCTCAATTCCTCGGAATTGCTATAACTAGTTCCAATTCCATGGAATTCAAAATTTAGAACTGAAAATGAATTCTTTTAAATACCAAACACAAAAATGTTTCATTTTAAAATGAATTCCTCAAAACTTATGGAATTCATTTATACCAAACTATATGTTAAAGCGCATTTCAGTGAAATTGAGTGTATATTATGTGATTTGACCTAAAAATATGTTTTAGTGATTAAATTTAAGAGTTTCACCTTCGCTATTTATTTAATATAAAGACTTGCCTTAGAATTATAACTATTCTACTTGTATGTTTTACAATTGATGCATAACATAACATTTTAACTAACCCAATTACATTTAGGCATAAAATCATTCATCTAATGGTCATTAAATGAATTTATAGAACAATAGTTCAAAAAATATAGAAATACTTAAAGTACAAGTAAATCATTAATTATTGCGAACAACTGGTTTTTTTCTGTTGAATCGAACAACGATTTTGATCTGGTGGTACTACTACTAGTTTCCATTTTAAGATCTCAGGTTCGACTCTTTTAAGTAGCACTTAATAATAAGAACAAACATATGGCAGCCTTATAAAAAATATCATTAATTATGCAAACAAGAGCTTGATCTAGTGGTACAATCATTGATTCAAAACCAGAATGTCCCAAATTTGGATCCCTTAAATGACACATAACACTAAAAAAAACTGATATCGTCCTTATAAAAAAAATATTGAAATTCATACATGTTTTACTCGTGAAATTTCCTATATTTTTTTTTGTGAGACCTATATTGAATTTCTCACAAGTAAATTGGAATTACCATTGTCTGGAAAGTGAAATTTGGCTATGAACGAATCGGCAGATGAAATTGCCAGGATAAAGTCGATCGTCATATTGTGGATGTTTGAACCTCTAATTTAAGGAGACACTTGGCATCATATAATATTAAGTTGACAAATGGTTACAGCACAAATCATGGGTGACAAAATATACCCCTAAGAGGAAGTGACATCACATAATATTAAGTTGACAAATGGTAACAGATAATATCAAGATGACGATAAAATATACACCTAATAGAAAATGGCATCTTATATAATATTAAAAGATACACCATAAAAAATGATAAATGGGTTTTCCAAAAAATTATACAATTTTTTGTTCATTGAATCATTGTTATTCAAATTAACATTAGTTTCGTTTTAAGATAAAAATAAATCAACAAAACTGACATCATATACACCTAATTTACAAATGCAATACATAAACACCCTTAAAATCGATTCCATGGCAAAATAGCATTTGTTATAAAAAGAAAAGAATTATTATCAAGGATTGTGAAACCGTACCGAAGATTATACTAGAGAGATAGAGTATTTTATACTAAAATAGTGATTGAACCGATAAAACTGCCTAACATTTTGGGTTCGATATCTAGTATATCCCGTCCGACTGACCGGTAGGATAAGGTTTCCTAAACCTTGATTATTATGTATAGTTAACGACTGACCACCCCCACCAGCAACTAAAGAGTCTTTCTCTATTATTGTTCTTTTTCTGTTTGTAGGGTCGTGGCCTTAGTTGTCAACTTGGAATTAAGACCTCGACTACATTAAGTAGGCCATTGTGATTTGTTTATTATATATGTGAGGTATTAAGACAGATATTTATTTAAGTTTAAGCTGGTGGTGGGAGATTGTCACATGGATCATAGGCATTATTTATAGATATAAATGGCATCCAGTCAAATTGTACAAATCACCCAAACTCATCTGTCCCTGGTAGCTAGCAAACATCTCTAGCTAATCTCCCATCACCTCGAGCAGAAAACTATTAGCAACCATGGTTCTTTTTAATTTCAAGTCAGACAAGCATTTTGTTACCTCTTCCGACAAAACCACCCTCAGAGTTTGTGAGTTGAGCGATCCTACTGTTCACCCTTCTCGTATTCGAAAGGCTCATTGGAGAGAAGTTGGTTGTATCATTGTTGACACTGATGATGATAGAGACGTGGATGACTTGACGGAAGAGCAGTACTACGACGGGCTGTCTTTTTTCGATGGTCATGGGAAGATCGAGGGACAGGAAGCCCTGACCAAGCTAGCCCAACACCTCGCCCGATTGGGTTTGATGGTGAGCCCTGGAGGGTATTGCTTTCAAGACGTGACCGAGCTGAACGAGCATAAAGAGTTTGGAATTCACTATCTCCGACTGAATGATCTCTTCAGCTGGTCGCATCACGGTGTTGGCATGTCGAGGATCACCATGTGGCGGCGCTTGGAGTTGAAGTACGATGTGCCAAAGCATAAGAAAATACCAAAGTCGTCGTTGATGGTAGGCGGTGCGATCAGTAAGGAGAAGTATGAAGAGTTGAAAAGGATGTTGAACGAGAAAAAGGAGGAGCTGAAGAAGGTAACCACGGAAATGGAAGACGAGATTCAGAAACTGAGGGACGGAAATGACGAAGAGCTACAAAAGGTCCAGCAGGAGATGGAAGCGGCCATTGACAAGAGAGATGCGGAGCTGCGGAAGGTGAAGAAGGAAAAGGGGGAAGAGTTGAGGAAACTGAGGAAGGAGAAGGACGAGGAGATACGAAAACTGAGGCGAGAGATGCATGATGAAGTGGAAAGACTCGAGAGAGAGAAGGATGAAGAAGTAGCAAAGCTAGAAGAGTCAGATGAAACGACTCACGAACCGGCAAAGGAGGAGGAACTGAAGATGCTGAGGAGGGAAGCAAACGACTCGAAGAAACGGGAGAAAGAGAAGGACGAGGAGTTACTGAAGCTGAAACGAGAGTTGGAAGATCTAAGAAGATCGAAGAAGGAAGAGGAAGGACATCATAGGCTAGAAAAGGAGGAGGAGAAAAAGGATAAGGAAGCACTACAACAACTCATCATGGAGAAGGATGGTAAATTGCAGGAACTAGGAAAGGTAAGGGAGCAACTGTTAGGAAAGGTCGAGCAGTGTAGTAAATATTCATGGTCAAGACTACCTTCATATAACTGTGGTGATTTAGTCAAGTTAAGAAAACGGGTGCCGCGAGAGAATTTTGAGAAGGCCAGCGGATTGGATAGGAATCAGCAACATCTCTGCCATCGCTATGTTCCACATATCCTGACTTCTTCAGCCTTCGCCAGGCAATACGTTGATGTGGTAGATGATGTGTCGCGCGACGATTGGCCACCTCCACCTAGGATTCAGTTTTCCGTTGGTAACAACGGCCAGTTCGACGTCGACAACTGGTGGTTTCTGAAGACAACCCACCCGGAAGGAGGCACGACGATGCTGGGTTATTACGATGGGAGTCTTTCTATTTGTCCTGATGCTGCCTATTCATGCAATACGAGGTTGCCTTTTCCTAGGGGATGTGATTTTTGTGCAAGTAGAAACTTCTTCCTGACTTGTCTGGATGCCCAAGAGTGGAGGCTGGCTTTTACGTATCGTGAGTAGTAGATGTGGTGGCTTCAGGCTTGCTATGGTATGTTTTTGCCTAGCAAGTTTCTTGATCCTGGCCTCTCTCTCTCCCACTAGCTAGCTCCCGGCTTGTTATGGGAGCGATGTGATCAATTTTTCTCTATTCTGCTTCGTTGTTTCTAATTATTATTTTTTCCTTTTCGGTACAATTAAAAAATAAAGGAATAAATCAGTTGTTGTCTTCTATTTAATCGTCCTAATTTAAAATACAATATTACTAAACTATCCTTTATTAATTAATCAAAATTCAACAAACCTAACAGGCCCCTAAAATCCCAAATCCTCATTTAACGCTGCAAACCTCTGAAAAGGTTATTTTAACGTTAAAATTAGGGCGATTAATAAAATTTAGGGTGACAATTAGCAACTCCCATCCACAATCGTTGATGAGAGTGATTAATTTATCTCTCTTCAAATTTGGTTATGGTTCCGATGCTCATTGATATTATACCAAGGTTATGGTCATTTGATGCACAATGACAGGCCAACTCTACGAAAAATGACTATAACAATAAAGACGGATTGCAAATAACTCTTTTTTAAGGTACATGCAAAACTTGCAGCCGTATTTAAAATACAAGTAAATGGTTTTTACTCGTTAGACTCGGACGAGTTCGCCCTATTTAATTTTTCAAGCGTTTTTGTCTGAATCTCGGGCGGGCTCGCTCCTGTTTGTCCCTCTACACAACACAATATTTGTGTGTAAATAGTTTTTATTCCCCGTATTACAGTAAAAAAAATAAAACATTTTCAAGATTAATCAAAACATCGAGCGGTTATTATAAAGAAAGTACATATAACATAATTTATGGGATAAATACTTTTGGGTTGTTAGAAGGAATCAGTCGATGTATTAGTACATAATGACTGACCCACGTACCCCACCGATACTAATAGTCTTCCTATAATATGGTTCATTTAAATTAATCAAGTCATTGTGAATTGTTGATTATGCTTTTTTTTTTTTTTTTGTGTGGTCTTTGTTAATCAAAGTCATGCTCTGAAAAATATTATATACCAATACTAGCTTATGAGTTATGACCCGGCATTTGGCCGGATAATCCTGTTTGTTATATGTTTGGATATTTTTTCGGGTAATGTCTATTTTTAATCCAAACTTTTATCAGATTCTTTAATATTATTCAAACATATTAAAATGCTATTAATTAGCCAAATCTTTTGTAATGCATCAAAATATTAGTCATTTTTACGTTATCGTTAATAATTTAGTAACTGTTTTCTCAGTCAAAATACTAAAATTTTGAAATGTTGACCTTCATGTGTCTCTTCCAAGTCAGTATCATGTTGTCAAGTCAATATTACTTACAAAATTGCTACCTGGAAGTTAACATTTGATTAGTTCTTAGTATTTTGATAGGTTTGACTTGTAGTATTTCTCTTAATAGATTTGGATAAAAAATAGACTTCACCTTATTTTTTCTATTAACTTGTAGTATTTCTCTTAATCAACTAAGAAAATTTTATGGTTTACATAAAAAATTTATCGGGTGGTTTATATGAAACTCATTGGATACTGAATATGATTTGGTGAACTTGTCGCATCCCATTTAAAAAAATATGAATTCACTTGCTAGTTTCCCGTGGTCTTGAAAAGTTTGCCTCCGCCTTAATTTATGGAATAGAATTAAAGTCAAATGTAAAATTATTAATCACATGCTCTAAATTACATAAGTTACTAAAAAGTAAGCTTATCTGAAATTCTGACTACGTCATTACCACAACATCTACAATGGAACATATTACCGCCTCAGATGGCAAAGAACCAACATCTATGTGCCAAACCTTTCCATGAATGTGAGCTCGTGAAGAAAATATTAACATGTTATCCCTAGATTAACTTTTATTTGTTGAGCGACGACTCTTCCACTCGATATTTTTTGGATTACTATGGTCAGCTTTAGTCCCTGGATACCTACGTGCTGACCGTGAGCCGGATCGCCCCGGTCACATGCGATCGCATCTGGCCTAATCGCATGTCGATGGGCCGCTGTTAAATATAAAGAGAGAATGTAATCAGGATGCTGAGCAGCACGAACTCTAAGCCCAGCCCACGATGGAGCGCATCTCAATCACAATCGTTGGGGCAAAACAAGATAAGGCAACCAGTTCCCTCTCGTCTTCATCTCCATCTTCCCCCGCCAGGAGGAAGGTATGGCGTCCTCTTCCACCTCCTGCTCCTCCCTCTTCCGGCCAGCTCATCTCACTGGTTAGTTCCAACGCCATTTCTCGTCCCTCTTTACCCTTCTACGCTTCCTTCCTCAGTGCTGTAATTCTGTAAAGTTGAGCTCGAATTTGATGATTCTGCTCCAGGATTGGGCCGGCGACCATTTACTTCTTCCACCATTGGCAAATCCTATGTTTCCCTGGTGAGTTTCATCTTCCGATCCCCAGCTAAACCTTCAAATGACTCCCCCAACAATTGAATTTTTCGATCAACCATGTTTCTTTGCGCAGAACTCTAATCCCAGCCGCAGGTTGTTGTTTTCAACACCTTCAAAACCCGGCCGCCAAATCCAGTCGACATGGTCGTCTACCCGACACTTGACACCGTCGGCGGCGATACTCAACGCGGAGCACTCGCAACCCGACCCGACATTTCCCGGTGCAGACCTCCATCTGGGGACATGGATGGTGGCGGCCGATATAGACCCAGCCACGGCAAAAGTGGCGATTGGCGTTTTGGGGCCGTTCCTTTCGGCATTTGCGTTTCTCTTCATTGTCAGGATCGTCATGTCCTGGTACCCGAAGCTCCCCGTCGGCAAGTTCCCTTACGTCGTTGCCTATGCTCCCACGGAGCCCATTCTGGCGGTGACCCGGAAAGTCATCCCGCCACTCGCCGGAGTGGATGTCACCCCGGTCGTTTGGTTTGGGCTCGTCAGCTTTCTCAACGAAATACTCGTTGGTCCACAGGGGCTTCTGGTCCTCATTTCGCAACAGGTTAACCGATGATATGGTCGAAATGTGGTTACAGGAGCAAAAGCAAACAGTTTTGGGTTCTGCTCAAGTTTGGTAGTAAATGTTCAAGTCTTGAAGATATATTTGTAAAACTCGAGTTTGGTGAATGCTGGTGCATTGGCGTATATGCAAAACCTATTGCGATTATGAGAAAGTTCAGTTTCTACTAGGAGCGATTCCGTTAAAACATTAACACTCATGTCTCGTTCACTTGTCATTCCTCATATATCAATCTAGCAGGAAACATTGATGCAGTAGATTTGATCATATGTGTTAATCAGGCAAGACCTTATGTTTCGCACAAGTACAGCACATCAATGAACGTGTCCAACAGCACTTATCCTACTATATCTATAGTAAACTTCCAACTGAACATGGCAAACAAAACAAACACCGTTCTTTTCTTTCAATCTGACATTCTCTGAACCACCTCAAGAAACCTAAACATACCACTTGAGCAGACAAAGACCCCTTCTCTGTTTCTATAGCTTCTGCAGAAGTCCCAAGTCAGGTATGGTGCGTTTAAATGTCTGCCACAAGGAAGTTGCTGGACAAGGACACCTTCAAACAAACAAGATGATATCTAATTTAGAATCCTGTTTTGCTACGAATGGATCCCACGCGACAAATGAGACCACAACATGGAGAACCAGAAAACCGTTTCTTAAGTACCTTTTCGCCAAGCTTGAATGGAGGAAGACCTTTGTATGGACATGTGCCGCAACGGAAAGCATCCCCAAGTCCGCACTGCAATGCCACAAATTGAGAATGGCAATGGAATCACAAAGTCAGGTTCAATAAAAGAATCAAAGACGGAGAGTGAATGTAAAGAAAGTTGGAAGCCTACACTTCCACAGGATGATTGAGGATTGTTCAGCTGCTCTGTGGTCAATCCTAACTTAACTTTCTCTTCCTCTTCAGCTCTCCCACAGGTACAGTTCTTGCAAGCTTTCTTCGTGGTACTAATCTCGCAGTCGCCAACTGCATGACAATGGAGTACTTAAGTTCAACTTTTCCAAAAAGAGCAGCTAAGTTTTATAAAATAATCAGTTGCTTTTTTTTTATTTTTATAACTCGCCTGGTATTTGAGGTTTCTTCAAATCCTCTTCGGTCAATAGGCTATCTTCGTCGATCAAATCTGAATCATCATCCATCTGAAGCTTAATCGGTGCCTTTGTACCCTTTTTGAGAGCAAAGGATGTCCCAATTTTCCAAGAAGCCTTCTTTGCTTTCGCAGTCTTGAGTAAAAAACATTAGTGCACAGCCAATCATGTTCAACATTCAAGACAGTGGCATTCCCCAAAATAAAAGTACAGAAGGTTGTTCCCCTCTCATGGAGATTTTCATTGAAATCAAACACGTAGTGCACAGCTTTACAACAACAAAAGATCAGAACTCACCACAACGTATTGGAGGCCAGCATTTGAGCTCTGCTGAACACCTTTAGCATCTGAGAACCCAGCCAAAAGTAATTGGCGTTCAAGTGACTGAAAAGGAACACCACTGTGAGATATCACAATAAACTCTAGTTCATAGCATCGAATAATAAGAAATAATCACCTTCTCAGTTTCCTTTGGAGCAGCCTGCAGAACCTTATAGACCAAGATAGTACCACCAGGTTTTAACGCTCGAGAAATTTCATCAAACCAACTCCCATCAGGATATGCATGTGATCTGCTTATGCAAATCAGAAATTCTATTGAAGATGACTCCACTGGTAGTTTACCTGGCAGTAGAAAATCATGTAAAGGACCGATATTTAGCAACGACTAGCCCTCTTATCACAACGTTACTAAGAATGAAAAGGGAGTCCCGCAACATTCACAAGGTATTATGCAATACAATTGATAATTTAAGCACCACAAGCAACAAAAGTCCATGAAAAATCGGCTTAACCACTAATGTACGCATCGCATGACGAATGCATAACTGCAAAGAGACTAAGCGGAAGATGTTTACTTTGCGAGGATGACTGCGTATAAAGCTGAACGTCACACTGCAACGCTTCCTTGCCGAGCTCCCTAAGCGCATCGTTAATGGTGGTCATCTGGACCACCTGTTCATCAGAAATCACCAGCGCAACACCCTGCGTCGCTTTTGCCTCCTTCAACAACATACCAACAACTCGAAACAGTTTCAGCCGAAGGAAGAAAGGAATCCGATAAAACGAGAAGAGAGAATCGATTAGGGTTAATTCGATCGCATACAGTAGCACTTAACTCAATCAATCATCTCTACGCTGCCATTGCTTTATCGAGTTTCAAAACCGAAGCAGATCTCGCAGAGAAAACGCGAAAAAGAGCGGAAGAGGAGGAGAGGGAGGAAAGCAAACTCACCATCGTAATTGATCTCTAGAACGTCTTGGGAGGAATTGGGAGAATGAGGAACCCTAGAAACTAGAACTCGAAGCAAAATGGAGACGGAGCTTGTTTTTTGCCAAAATTAAAAATTCCCTCTAGAATGTGCGATTTGAAGTCGGATAGGTGTGGTGGCGGCACATGGGAAAGAAGGAGAGCGCGTGATGACGTGGACGCCTACGTGTTCATCATCGTGCGGTGTTGGTCACGCGAGTACGCGACTGACGGGTTGCTCCAATGCTCCGAGGGGGCCATGAGAGAAAATAGTGGGCTTGGCTGCGATATAAGACAGCTGGGCCGTAATGAAAACGAACATTGGATCTCCGGCCTGATTTGAAATTCGGCCATTTCGATTGGGCCGACTGGTTTCGAAGAAATAACTCAAGAATTTGGATTCTCAACTCCATAACCTTTTTTTTTTTTATCCAAGATAAGCCCCCAGAGCATGGCCGAACAACAAAATATAAAACTTAAAATAATAAAGAACGGTAGTCCGTATGCGACCGGACTCCTGATAAAAGAGCCTTTTTTGCCACGAGGTGGGCAGCTCTATGAAAGCTCGGAAGAGCAAAGACGCGAAACTGACACAGGGAGTTGAGAAGAGGGAAAGAACTTCCCTTAAAATATCTCCGACTTTAGAATGGGAAGACCTCCTCGATGTAGCATCCTGATGACCGGTTGAGAAAATCCTCGAGAGGTAACAACCAAACATTATGAGTAAGACCCTTTCTCATAGTAATAGCATAATAAATTTTACCAAAAGCAAATGAGACAGTTCCATCACCTGAAAATCTGGCAAAGTCAGTTTGCACATCCGTGAAGATTCTTTGTGGCCCAATCAAACCGAATCAAAATACTTTTGCTAGGGCAGGTTATATCTAACCCCATAAAGGCATCCACTGTGATGCTAGAGATCTCTATCTCAAGAGATTAGGTAGTGCCCTTTAGGCATAGGCGACATAACCGAATGTAAAATATCAATTGTATAATTCATAAAAAGAAGTACAATAGATCTCCATTTGAAGATGGATCCGAATTACCCAATATACAATATTCTTAAAAGGGAATTACTAAATAGAATGAAATAAAATTTCTATCAAACATTAAGAGAAGAGGAAACAAATTTACTCAAATGATCAACCACCAGGTTGTGATGTTCGTAGTGTTTGTTGTTTCATCATTTTATCATGCGATATTCGGCTTAATTTTTGTTTATAGATAGAGTCTACCCTTGGTTAGAGATTTGTCACTATCCACGAAGAGAGTTATTCATTATTGTCGATAGCGGATCAGAATAGCTCTAAAAAGGGCGATGACTGATGATTGATGATGAACTCTTATAATTAGAGGGTGCATTGAGTGATGATTGAGACAAGTAAATTCAGCTGGGGCAAAAAATGATGACTTCTTGGATCTTAAGAGAGCTGCAACAAGAATGATATATTTTCCAGAACATTAGAAGTCTTGTTACCAGATAGATGGACAACAAGGGAAAGCAACTTGTTGTCAAAAGGCTTTCTTACATCAATATGAACCAGAGTACTGCAGGGATACTATGAATTAGATTGCATTTGTTCTCTCAAGTTTCCGAGAGGGCCATAGGTTTTCCCGGAGGCCTTCTCGCTGCTGCAGTTACAGCTGCTGGTGTTTAAGTTAGTGCCACACTGGAGGCAAGCTCCTTTACACATTGGATCACAAACTCCGTTGATCGTTATCTCCACGTGTATCAAATCTCTCAAGTTCTTGGAGATATCGATTTCACTCTCTTCAAGAGGAAAGTGCAGCCGATCATCCCAATCAATTGATGCATCATCATCGCCGTCGTCTTCCTCTGCTTGACCAGCGTTCAGTCCTATAGTGATTACATCTGGCTCTTCAATGGGTTCTTCTGATAGTAAAAGGGAGAAGTTGGAGTAGATACACTCAGCAGCTGGCTGACCGCACCTGGCATTGTGTAAAGAGACATGAGATAGATTCATTGGCAAAAGAAAAGGAACGAAAGCGATAAGACAGCACAGGATGTAGAATAGAAGCAAAGGACAACCTAAATTGGGTCTAGGACACAATTTTTCTTCAGCTATTCATATGACTAGCCAGTCAAGTGGTTTCTGCTGCCATCTCATAGATGAAACTACAATTGCAGCTCTATACAAAACGAAAATCAGTCCGTAGGCTCAAAACCTGCATCGCTTGCCATTACATGCGTCTAAGTCAACTGTTAATATTTTAGGTTACTAGAATCCAAACATGAGACCTTTTGGTCAATGCCATGTCAAGAATAGATCATCCTAACAAATCGAATTCTTGAGAGAGCTTAACGAATGAATCTTATTCATTCCCTTGCAGTACTCAGATGACTTGCAACCCAACATGACCGAATGTGGTATTGGCTAAAGAATTTTGACCTCTCATCATTCTCATTTTTACACCCAATTGATCGACTTGAAGACTGGTTATAATAACAGAATTATATATTTATATTAACTCTCGCAAATTTTTCATGTCCCCAATAAACCACACTTATTAACACATACACCGGCTATCAATCATTGAGTACTGAAAATAATTGGTTATGCTTATGTTCAAAAGCATAATCTAAAACTAATAACAAGTGGTATTGACGTAGTCACCAGAACAGCAAATAATATTAACCAAGATAAGTATGTTAAATAAGAAAAAGAGTGAGAGTGAGCTTACCTATTACAATATAAGGTGATGACAGTCTTGATTATCCCATCAAGCCTCAGTTTTTTCCTCTTCCTTGTCACATCAACAGAGATCTGAACAGGAGTCCCTTGTGGATAATCTTTAACAGCTTTAGTGACCCGTAGTCCCATAATTGAAGCCCTTGATTTGGAAACATCCGTTGAGAGGTTACCTAGACCAAGCCTTTCCAGTGTCGTGCAGTACTCGATGTGTGAAACCGAAGCATTTCTCCTGTACATAATTGCACCTTCCCATGGTGACCCCTCTTCTTCTTCAGGTTCCAATGCCTCCAGATCATCCCAATTCAAAGACACATCAGTGACAGTATGCTGGTCCCTGCTAGCCAAGTTTCTCCTAGTAGCCTTTGAAATCCTAGCTGATCTCTTGGCAAGATACTGAGAGATTTCTGATGTAACATTGCTAAGAAATCTGTACTTAACACTTGCATTCGATGGAAAGCTATTCACAGATGCCAAACTATCTGCTTTGAGTTGGCTAAAATGTGATGGTGCAGCGACAGAGGAAGCAACGAATGCAAGCGACATCTTGGCCTTTCCAATTCGGATTAAGAAAGCTTCTCTGAGACAGAAGTGAAAGCTTTGATTAAAGGGATGACAGAAACTTTAGCAACCATGAAAATCCTTCAGTACCAAATCCATGTAACTGTGCTAATCAAGCAAAACAGGAACCGAGGAGTTACAGCAGTGGAACCCAATACCTGAAAAATAGAAGAAGAAACAATTGGTCAGGCGAGGCAACAAGTTTATAGTCACTCCAAGTTCTGCGTAACAATCGATATACTTGATTTATGTAGGGAAACTATCAGCTCATACTCTATGGGGCAAAACATCAAACACCTCATGGGCGTGAAGATGAAGTTCAGCCAAAACAGGTAGGAAGTAGATAGGCGACATCTATTGGAAGAAAAACACTGCTTAAAGATAAGGAAAAGCACTGACCAGAGAAGAGCTGGAGCTTCGAGCACGAAAGGATGAGTAACTGAGAGATGTTCTCCAAACTATTCAGCGTTGCCGCCAAGAGCTGTTCTCCAGACTGCAGTTAGAAAAAGAATTGGAAGAAATGAGAGATTAGGTAGCTGGACAGCTAGTGACGCCGAATGGAGGAGCTGAATGGATTGGATTTGGAGGACTGCCTTCAGTTTAGGACCATCTATCGGGCCCAGTTATTGGCAACTCCGAGCCCATTATTTTAAGCCGAATCTGTGCTAGTGGCCCATTCTAACGTGAGCTTGCTGAGTCCACCAAAAGGGGAAGTGCATACGGGATACCGGAACAATATATTGGCTTCGCATTTCGCAATGCCAAAATGCAACTATTCTCGCAGAAAAGCAAGATACGTAAAGTGAAGCGAGACAAGCTATGGAATCACAGAATCAGAAGACTTTCCATACCACAAACTAAAAAGTACACAGCATCCGGAAAACATAATACACTAAGCCTGAGAGTCAGCAACTAAAAACAGGATTAGAGGTTGGACAACAACTAGAGAGCAGAAGAACTCAAGGGCCAAGGCACAGTCTTCAGATCAACTAAAAGCTAAACGAAACATACAATCCAATAAAGCAAGTCGAAATCCCAATCTTCAGTTTCAGAACAATAGAGATCCCATCCAAGGCCTCTACGGGTCGAGCTCGGCATAAGGAGTCTCCAACTGGGCTTGCTCAGCTTCCTGCACCTCCTTCTCGGTCTTCCTCCCTTTCTTGCACTTGTAGTACACGCTCATGAACGTCCCCACAGCTTTGTACTTCTTCCTGGTCTCCTCGTACAACCCACCGTCGAACATTCTCCAGAAGTTCTTCTCGTTCAGCTCCGAGACAGCATACTGTGGCTGGAAACCATGGTTCTCTATCAACCACTGTTCCAACCGGCGAACAGCCTCGGATCCATCAAACACCTCGCCCCTCAAGACAGGTCCCGGTGCATAGTACACTCCGACATCGGTGTACATCTGAGCATATGAGGTGTCTCCTTGCCTGCGCTGGGTCTCGAATCCTGGCTCCGGGTAGATCATGGTTTTGATAGGGAGCCTGAAGAGCTTGTGAGGGCAGAGCCAAATAGGGTATACCTACAAATCACCACCAGAAACGAACAGGTTACAGCATGTTAGAAACAGAACATAAGATTTGCACCGGTTTCCACATTAACAAAGAAGAGAAGCATATTCAGTCATTGATTTCACCATGTTGTTACTTTCTTTTGGGTCACGTTGGATACTTAAGCATGCAAAAAGAGAAGAAAGGAAAGCTTGTTTACCTCCATCTCACGGTGGACCCATTCCAGTGCATCGCCAACCTTGTAGAGAGGAACAAGCAAATCCTGGATAACATGCATCTCATGGTAGTAGTTTCTGATTGCTTCACCTTGTGTGGCCTTCAGCAGAGAGACCTTAGGAGGCATCAGCCAGCCGAGGAGAAACCTAAACCAGAACTGGTCAGCAAATGGAAGAATGAGCTTGCCT